ATACGAGCTGCGATTTTCCCATTAAACCACAGGTAAACTCTTTGGCTCGATTACCCAATTCCGAAAACTATTTGAATCCCGCACACCAAAGTGCCTGCCATGTGTATGAGATGGCCGTTGTAAGTCAGCTCCGGCGGGCGCTGTGAGTTCGGGCCTCGGACGTCAGAGTCCCGGACGGCGCCGGCGAGGAAAAGTTTGGTCAGCCCGTCTCACAATATCCGACCCATCGGAGCCACTTAGAACGGCCGCCTGCTGGCTGTCTCGGTCGCGGCCGGTCGGCAAACTGGCGCGCCGCCCTCTGGCAGTTTGGCGACTTTTCGACGCTCAGTCTGGTTAACACCGTCGAGCTGGTTCGATTACACGGAATAACGGCACATTGTCCAGCGGGGACCAGTTGGGTGGCTCTGGCGTGTGGCACAGACTGATAGAACCCACTCGGAGACAGTCGGGTCCGTTTCAGAAAAGGTGCCGTGCTACCGGTTCGCCATGTCCGCTGAAACTGTTTGGTGTCTGCACTGCTGCTGCAAAGGACCGCATGTTGTTCACCACCACACTGTATATGAGCGGCGGGCGGCTCAAACAATGACGAGCCGTACGATCCAGCACGGAACTCCTGTGGTCCTCGGTGAGAGCAGAGACGGCTCTTGGTGAGAGCATAGATCGGCCTATGGCGAGGGCTATGGTGGGAGGCCGTGAGGAGCGGCTGCACGGGCCGTGCCGGTCCGCCGCCTGGGCCGGCACCTGCGGCCGCGCCCGTCCGCCCCGTCAGCCCCGCTGGCCGCCGCCGGGCCGCTGACGGACGGGGGCGGTATTTAGCGCAGGAGCGGGTGGCATTGCACGCCCACGGCGCGGCCGGCGGAGCGCCGCGCCCCGTCCCGTTCCGGCCGCGGCACACCGGCACACCGGCATCCCGTCACACACCGGCCATTCAGCCGTCTCGTCTCGTCCCATCCCTTCTCTTTGCGTCCCGTTCCTGTTCCGCTCCTTCCGGTCCGTTCCACCGGTCCGGACCTGTCTGCACTCCGCCGCGGCCCGCTGACCTCGTGCGAGCGTGTTGCGTCCGCCTGGGTCGCCGCCACGCCGCGCGTTGCACAACATTGCAGCGGCGCCGGCTGAGCGCTGACTGTGTGTCGGCTGTTCGATGACGGCCTGCTCAGAACCGGCCCGGCGCGTCTCTACTGCGCCGCCGGTGGGAGGGACCGCCGCCCCCAGCAGGCTGGACGGGTAAAAGGCGGTCTGGCGTTTCTCTGAGCTCCTGGACCACCCTCGGGGAGGCCGGCGCCATCCGACTCTGATTACGGCACCCCGGCTAATGGCAGATTAGCCTAACGAGCCGGCCGCTTGTGGCTGCTGATGGGGGTAACTTCCGGTCGGTACCTGGCTGTCCGACACAGTCTGGACCGCCTTACCGGGCTGATAGCCACGCGGCGGTCTCCGTCTGTCCGATACGGATCCCATCGCCTCACCAGGGCGGGTCCTTTCCGGTCGCCGCGGTCAGGGACTGGTGAAATCTGGCGACAGGCCGGCACAGGTGGACAGAGGCGTGAAGTGAAGGCTTCTAGTGTCAGCGTGGTGTCACCCCCGGGGACCGACAGGGTCACCGCCACCCGCTGTGAGACCCGCTGCGTCCCCGCTGTGACTGTGAGCCCACCGCCCTGTCACTGTGAGCCCACCACCGCTGTGACTGTGAGCCCACCACCCTGTCACTGTGAGCCCACTGCCGCTGTGACTGTGAGCTCACTGCTGCTGTTACAGTGAGCTCACTGCCGCTGCCACTGTGAGCCCACTGTCCCTGTGACTGTGTAGAGGCGTCTGACGGCCACCCGAGCTGACGGAGGAGCGGACCTGTCACCGCGTCAGCCATCTGGCTGTGGTCTGTGTGTTACAGCAGCAGTCAGCGCTCTGCGGGTGGCGGGCTGACCACCGCCCAGCAGCCCACCGCACCTGCCACCGACGACAGGGCGGTCTAACGGGGTGGTCAGATACATAGCCGGGAGGCTGGTCTGTCGGCGGGACGGCCCCTGGACAGACGGGGAGCTGCAGCGCCTGTCCCAGGACACGCTCCTCGGCCGGCCCGTCGCCGCTCGGCCGTGGGTTTTCCCGGTAATCCGCGGACCGGCGCGGCCGCTGCAGCTTTCACCTGGCGCGCCGAGCTGCCGCGGCCGCCCGCCCGACCCGCGGCGGCGGCGGCGGCGGCGGCGGCGGCCTTGGCGACCGCGGCGCGGCGGCTCCGAGCGCCGGGCGGCCGCCTCACGGACCGTTTTCCTGCGGCCGACCGCCGCCGGCCGCTCCGCTGGTCTGCTGACGACCGCGGCGAGCGGCGACCGGCCGGCAGCCAGAGCCGGCGCCGGGCGGTGACAATGGACTGTCTGTGGGTGCGCCGCGACCGCCGCGCCGGCGTCGTCTCCGTGGATGGGCAAAAGGCGGGCGACCGGGCGGCCGTCCGGTCCGGGTCTGGTCTCGGATCCCGCCGGCGGCGACAGAGCGATGTCGTACAGTCGTCTTCTGATGAATAAGGTCCGGCTGAGACCTGTCGACTCACCGGCGCTACTCGATCACTGGATATCACCGCCACATGCGAGGAGAGAGGTGCGAGGGAGGGGGAGAGAGGCCGAGCGGCGGCGCGGGTGACTGGAGGGATCCTCCCAGCGACAGCCGTTACCCAATGCTGTCAGCATCCAATGCGTCGAGGTGTTGGCAACCACAGTGCATTTCCTTTTAATTAGCCCGCATCCCACTCATCTGTCGTGTACGCACGCACGCACAGCGCATTGGGAAACCATATTGGGCGACATCTGTTGAGAGTTGTGACGAACTTCGAACACGGCCATCACGTCTGCTGGGCCGTGCCCCGGTTCTGGGATCGGCCCGTGGTGACGTCACGTGGCCGTGACTGTGACGTCACGCGGCGGCACGGGGCAGACGCGGCGGCGGCAGCGGCGGCGGCGGCTGGTGGGCAGGGTCAGGGACGGCCGGCCGTCCGGCCACACCCGGGCCCCTGGCCGCGGCGGCGACACCCCGGACAGGGTGACGACTGAGCGGCCGACTCCGCGCCCACCGACACGGCTCAAACTGGCGCTCATGGGATGTGCTGAGCTGAGTGTAAAACCGGGCTGAGGGACGGATACCATGCCCTCCACTGCCGCCTCCGCCGCCGTGTCCTGCCCTCGGCGGCTGCCGCCTTCCGCCGCCGTGTCCTACCCTCGGCGGCTGTCGCCTTCCGCCGCCAGTGACCGATCTGCTGGGCGGTCGGTGGCGCTGCGCCACATCATCCCCTTGGACTCCGACGTATACTGCGGCTCGGCGTATACTAACTGCGCCGTCCGTGAGCCGCCCTGACGCACCGGGCGGCCCGGGCGGCGTCCGTGAGCGGTCTGGAGGTCACCCCACGGCCCACCCCGCCGGTCACGACTGAGCACAGACTCGGTGGGATGGCGCGAGGGCTGCGGCCGGGGCTCCGCCAGGCCTCGCACGGGATCGGACCGGCAGTAGAGACTGGAGTTCTGGGACCGGAGCCTGGGACTGGGACTGGATGTGGGGCTGCTCAGGGGGACCACCGTTCCGCTCCTGAGCCGCTGCTCCTCTGCCCGGGTGAGACCGCCCGGGTGCCGGTGGCGGCGGCTCCTCTGCGCGGGATGGACGGGACGCCCGGGTGCCGGTGCCGATGCCGGTGCCGGCGGCCCAGATCGATTGGCCCGTGTGCCGGCGGCCGCTGGCGCACGTGTCTGCCGCGGCCGACGGCAGGCGGAGCAGCGCCGGCCGACGGACGGCAGCCGTCCCCCTCCCTCGGGCCGCCGACGGCCGCGCCACGGCGCGTAACCGACGGACGCGGCGCGTCGTCGTCTCATTCCCTAACAGTTACAGTGGCAAAGGGGTGGCAGAGCCGGATGCGTCCTGCGGGACGGGAGTCATTGAGCCACCATTAGCGTGTTTCATCCGAGCTGATATCGTATTTGGCTAGAAATGAGCACGTCATCTGACTGCAGCACGCCGTCCGGAACAGCTCAGAGCCCCAGCTGACCTCTGATCACCCGGGGCAGGTCGGAGTGTGGCGGGGTCAGTGGCGTGCACGAGGCTGAAGGTGGATTAGTCGGTAGCCCGGCCCCGGCAACGAGCCCGCTCTCCGTGCCAACAGAGAATAGTTTTTGTGCCGCCATTGATTGATGGTATCGTGCCCGACCGCTGACATACTTTTTCATCTCGCTGGCGCTGTTGGTACTGAGAAGCCTACATCGAGCTGAGATATTGCTGTTCTTATTATGTTTTTTTTTTCTCGTCTATGTGCCTGTAGCCCATTTCATGTGAATAGGTGAAGAAAAGTACAATTGGAAAAGGAACTGCTGCGATGCAGATTGTGACCACAGCAATGCTATCGTGACCCGTTGTTGACTGCTGAGTTTGTTTTGTGGTGACCTCTCCCCGGCATGTTCTCACCTCCCTGTGTTCAATACTCGTACCAGAGCCTGATCACAACCGGTGTCTCCCCTAAGGATTGTCACCTGCCGCTTATGGGACGTGAAACTGGTTCGATCTGCGCCCTCTGGGATCTGATAGTTGTCCCCCTCTGACTGTGCCCCTCTGAGTTGGTCCGTCCCTCCTGTACCCACGACCCACAGCCAGGAGCGGGACCAGAGGACCTCCCTCTGACTGTGTCCCTCCTGTACCCACAGCCAGGAGCGGAACCAGAGGACCCCCCGTCTGACCCAGTCCCCCCTCTACCCACAGCCAGGAGCGGAACCAGAGGACCCCCCGTCTGACCCAGTCCCCCCTCTACCCACAGCCAGGAGCGGAACCAGAGGACCCCCCGTCTGACCCAGTCCCCCCTCTACCCACAGCCAGGAGCGGAACCAGAGGACCCCCCGTCTGACCCAGTCCCCCCTCTACCCACAGCCAGGAGCGGGACCAGAGGACCCCCGTCTGACCCAGTCCCTCCCCCTGTACCCACAGCCAGGAGCGGGACCAGAGGACCCACGTCTGACCCAGTCCCCCTCTACCCACAGCCAGGAGCGGGACCAGATGCGCGAGCGGGAGCGCAAGTCGCGCAGCCAGATCGCGCAGCAGGCGGCGCGCGACACGTTCATGGAGCAGGCCAGCGGCGCCGAGTTCGCCGAGCCCATCAAGGTCAGAACGGTCAGCACTGTCAGAGGTCACCGGGTCACGGCCTGGCCGACGGGCCGCATGGGTACATACCAGGGGGGGGGGGGACTGAATCGTACAAGGGTGTGTGTACAAAAACGGGATGTGGTGTAGTATGGCTCGCACGTGGGCTTGTAAGGATTATGGTGCAATTTAAGCTCCTAATTGTCTTGTTTTATCCAGCGATCATAAGCAAAAGAAGCTTATTTAAAGGAACTGCTGCTGTGAGTGGCTATTATGATCCGTATGAGCTACATGGCTGATTTTCATTAGAATTGTCTTGCATCTTCTCTCTTCTTACATCAACCTAGGAGTCCGTGCATCCTTCACATGCTTTCGACGGAATTAAAGCGAGTTCTGCCCGTCGAAGAGGTTGAGACTGGACAAGTGTCCATTTGGTGCCCACTATCCACGGTATTGGGTAACGCGTCGGACTCGGAACACAGCTGTTGTCCCATTCTCATTAGGTACTCGATTGTACCTGAAACTAGTTTTCGGTCTGCCAAGGTCAAAGATCAGTAGATATAGGTAAATGCTTGCTCTATTCTGTGTAATCGCTGCCATTGAGTGCAGCTAACTCTGGCCGGCACTGCCGGGCCCTGTTCCGACCTGTGGGGCTGGCCCGGCTCGGTGGGCTGGCCCGGGTCGGCGTGAGGCACACACACAGGTGGTGACATTGAACAGCGGCCGATCAGCGAACCGCTCTGAGCCGCCGCTGTGGTGTGGCTGCTTTTCCTGAACATGTGTGCTACACAGAGGCAGCGTAGTTACGCCGTAGTAGCTTCGCAATGATTTCCTAGTGCTGGTAATACACATGTATCAACTTACTTTTGAAGAGTTGAGTTTAGAGGAAGAATTAGGCTGCACGATGCGTGCTTAGAGTACCTACCCTCGCAGTGAAAGGTCAGCCAGCGAGGCTGTGCTGCAGCGAACTGCGCCGGGTGGACGGAGCCGGTGTGGAGGTAGGGCCTGGCGCGTCTGCTGTGGTAGCTGGGTAGCTCTGAGCAGCGAACTGCGCCGTAACTAACGCCTTTGTAGGGTCTGGCGAGCCTCTTGGCCGTGCTGTTCCTCAGCGCCACTAAGACCGGTCGGGTCGGGGTGCCTGTCCGCACTGAGCACAGACACCCCCCTCCCCCGGCACTCGGCACTCTCTAGGACGCCCTGACACTGGCTGCGAGCGCCTCGCTGGCCGCCACGGTGCGCGACTATCGGCGGCTTTCATTTACTGACCTTGATACTGGAGCAGCCGCGCACCGTAACGCCGCGCTGTGACCCCCGACACCGCGCTGTGACCCCTGACACGGCGCCGTCCGTCAGAGGTCAGAGGTCAGCGCCGACTGACGACCACCCGGGTCCGTCCGTCCGTGCTGAATAGGCGCACGGTATCGAGCGCTGTCAGTGTGATGTCGCTCAGATGATATTGCACTATTGCAAGTGGTCGCAGCGCCATGGTTTCGTAGTAGTTCCCCAGTAGCGCTGCTCTTTAGCACCACTGTACCGAGTCATTGCGCCCGTCTGATAGCGGTAAGGTGTGTGCGGCTGTTCGACAGTTTCCGATCGTTTCGTCAGTCATTACCATCTGATTCATGCCCTCTCGGCAGCTCTCTGCACGTGCACGACGCGGAGCTGCCGGCCTGAGTGAATCATACGGGCTGATTGGCTGGTCGGTGTGTGAGTCAGTGTGGTTTTCGGTAATGTATGGCGCTCTTCTGGGCCGAACAGAGGGTTGGTGAGCGGACCGCTCAGCTGACCGACCTCTGCCGGCCTGCCGGCCCGGCCCGGCTGGGAGCTCTGCCAGCGTGCAGGGCGGGGACGGGGCGGACCGCGGCGACTCTGCTGGCAGGCGCGGACGGCGGAGACGGACTGAGTCATCTGCTCGTGTTTGCTTGCTAGCTTTTACCATCGCTTTCATAGGTGTGTGGTAGGGCCGGCAGAGTCCGCTCAGCCAATTCTAGTCGCTGGGGATTTCCGAACTCGGTGGTACGCTTGGTCCGCGGCATCCGATGCTCTCCACAGCTAGGTGTTACGCTCAGGCTACAGCTCTGCTCACCGGAGCCACTCTATCGGCGCCGAGTCCTCTTTCAAAGTCCGGTCAGAGTCAGAGTCAGAGTCTCAGAGCCGCCGCGGCGCGGCGGAGCGTTATCGTCCACAGGTGTCCCGGTTCCCATCGGCCGGCCGCCGTCCGACCGCTCCGGACGGCACCGTTACCGGGGGCGACGCGTCCCGCCGCGCCCAGCCGGTCAGCACCCAGATCTGGGGTGCTGCCGAGCCGCTCTGTGTCGTCCGAGGTCAGAGGCGCCCAGATATGCGTCACACACCAGTGGCCACTGGCCATGGTCCCGGGGCGGCTTCTCGAACAGAATCAGGTCGTTTTCTCCGCACCCAGCTGCCGACGTCGCAAGGTGTGAATGTGGTCTCACGTTCAATAATGGATGCCGCCATTCCCTCCCTCCTGCCATCAGCTCTGGTAGCGTGCTCACTGTAGAGCCGAGCCGTGCGCCGGGCCGCGCCGTGCCGCTGTAACAAAGGCCGGCGCCGGCCGGCGCGTGGGGTCACAGGGTCACGTCCCCGGGTGGACACAGTGACCCCGGTCAGGCTGGTGACCCCCGGGTGGACACGGTGACCCCCGGGCGGACACGGTGACAACCTGTGGCGGCGGCCCGTGTGGCAACTCTGCCCGGCGGCTAACTGGGCCCGTCGTGCAAGGCGCGTTTAATCAACTTGCCTCAACTGCGGGAAAATGATCAATCAACCTCGGATGGGGTGATCCCTCAGCACTGATTGTCCTCAGAAAGGGCTGCCTGTAACGCAAGCCGCGCGGTGGGGTGTGCGGCCCGCGCCGTGTGCAGCCGGCCCGTGCGCGGTGTCAGTGACAGCGCCCGCCGCGCGCGGTGGCTGTCGGCCGCGCGCGCCAGTCGGTGCCCGCTCAGTTCGGTGGCGTTCGGTTTGTTTACGGACGTGCCTGTCGTGCCGCCATAGCCGCGGAGGGGGGGGAGGGGTAGCAGAGCCCGCTGTTGGGCCGCCCCGGCAGCAGGCTGAGTGTAATACCAGACTGTCCGCAGACTGGGCGGTAGGTATGTGGGTGAGCCGCCGCTCGGAGGCCACTGCCGCGAGGTCTGGGCTGGTTTGGTGAACACTGAGCTTATGTGTGATGCGTACGGGCGACAGACAGGGGGCGGGTGGGACCTACTGACTGGCGCACTCAGTCTCTCGAGTTCTATCACCCCAGAGCCCCAAATCATCCTCTGAGTGTAATCAGCCCGATGGGCCGACACGGACAGCGGCCTCCGGCCACCCCGGGCGGTCGGCCGTGCAGTGTCGGTGTTGCACTTGCTCGTAGGTTGCTGGCCCGCTCTGCCGAGCCAGAGGCGCGGCGCGGACCGGGTCGGCGGCGTCACCCGATACTCTGTGCCGCCAGCCGCTCGGCTCGTCCCGGGCTGTTTGTTTTCCGGCGGGTCCGGGCTGCCGGCCCGGCCCACTGCGCCGCTCCGGCACCCTCCATAGAGGACGGGTACGCCGCACTGAAGGGCGGCCCGCTCGCCGTGCACGTGTCATGCCCGAACACGGCTGAACGGATGGCTCGGCGGCCTGGCGCGGCAGCGGACGGCGCATTGAGTGGGTTTTTCTGCGGCGACTTTCCTGGAAGTGTTTGTTTTGGTCTTTGGCCGGCCGGCGGGCCGCTGCCGCCGCCCGGTGTCGGACTGACACGCTCGGCGGCCCGTCTTTCACGCCCCCCCCCCCGCGCCGCCGTGCCCGCCGGGAGGTCAGCCGGGTCGGCGGCGACAGGCCGGCCCGCCGCCTCCGCTGTTTGTTTTGGGTGACGCGCTGTTGGTCCGTCTGTATCGGCGATACGGGCGCCGGTCTGCTGTGTGGCGCGGCCGGCGGGCCCAACTGCGCAGTGACCCGCTGGCCGCTGCTTGACACACGGCAACTGAAGCCGCGACTGATGTGACCAGAGCTGTTGAGACCCGCGGCTGTTGAGACCCGCGGCTGCTGAGACCCGCGGCTGCTGAGACCACGGCTGCTGAGAGCACGGCTGCTAAACACGGCGGCTGCTGAGAATTAGGTACGGCTGCTTAAAACCATAGCTGCTGAGGCCTGAGGCGGCTGTTGATACCCACGGCTGCCGGGATTTGGGACGGCTGCTGATACCCACGGCTGCCGGGATTTGGGACGGCTGCTGATGTCCACGACCGCTGGGCTGTGGGACGGCTGCTGAGGCTGACATGCTGAGTGACTGATGGCTCACATCTGCTGATGCCGAGTGGTGACGGATATCAAAGCCTGTTTGCTGAGATCTGCGGGACATCGGCCGCCGACTGTCGTGTCCAGACAGATTTCCCCGGACAGTAACTGTTGTGTAAGCGTCCACTTTCCCTCTGCGGCGGACCCAGATGGTCCACAGTGTGTCGGGCTGAGCAGAAGCCGAGTTTATTTTTATAATCACCCCATTCGTCGAGGCCCAGCTACATATATGTTTTTGATGGTGAAACGTAGTTCAGCTGATGCAGCACTAGTGTTATCAGTTATCCTCGATGCGCAAGCGATAGGCATTTGTTTGTGTGTCACTCGGTTTCCTGTTTGTGTGATATCGCGCACTGCCGGTGCTTTAAAACGCCGATTGTTCTGATCCCTGTCTGACCGTATGATAATGACACCCCGGTAACCATGCAGCACCCCTGTCTGACCCCTGTGGCACTCCTGTCTGGCCCTGTGACACCCCTGTCTGGCCCTGTGACACCCCTGTCTGGCCCTGTGACACCCCTGTCTGGCCCTGTGACACCCCTGTCTGGCCCTGTGACACCCCTGTCTGGCCCTGTGACACCCCTGTCTGGCCCTGTGACACCCCTGTCTGGCCCTGTGACACCCCTGTCTGGCCCTGTGACACCCCTGTCTGGCCCTGTGACACCCCTGTCTAGCCCTGGGACACCCCTGTCTGGCCCTGTGACACCCCTGTGTGACCCGTCGCTGACCGCCGCTCCCCGGTCGTCCACAGAAGCGGCAGAACCCGCAGATTACGGCCATCCTGGGCGAGTTTGACCGTCTGGCGCCCATCATGCGCTCGGAGCACGCCAGCGCCAGTCTGGTGGGCGCCGACGTGATGCCCTGCACGCCGGCGCCCGTCCACCAGGACCACGACCACCTGTTTGAGGCGCCGGCGCCGGCGCCCAGCCGCGCCGCCATGCGCGCGCCGCCGCCGCCGCCGCCGGCGCCCGAGCGGCGGCCGGCGCGTGTGCCGCTGCTGCCGCCCCCGCCCCCGCCCCCGCCGCCGGCCCCTGCCCCGGCCCCGGCTCCGGCCGTGCACCACTCGGGCCGGGCCCCGCGGCCGCCAGCCAGGAGTGAGAAGGTGAGTGCAGCCGCTGCGGGCGTGTGCCAAGGGTGGTACTGATGTGTGTCGACTGTCGTTCCTGCCCCGGGTCCTGGTCCCACACGGATTTAGCTGCTGGTCAGAGCCGTTCAGGGAGCCGTCAGCCGACCGTGACTGCCCGCGCCGGTGGACTCCGCTGGCCAAGGCCGCCCGGCGCCCACCTGACCGCCGCGCCGCGCCGCGCCGGTGGGGCGGCCCGACGGACGGACGGTGGTCAGGTGGACGGACACTGCAGAGTGCAGGGTGTCCAGCGGAGGAACGGTCGGGCTGGGCTGCTCTAATCTAATGGTGCTGACTGGGCTGATCTAATGGTGCTGACTGCTGGGCAGACCACCAATTGGCAGAATGCAGTGGCCTAAGCATGGCAATGCATTACACATGTGGGCTCTCTTGCTTTGTCATACGAGAACGCTGCAAAGACGATACTGCAACTAAAACGTGAATATAGTTTCAGGTTCAATTTATTTTCTGCTCGGGAATGACGTGTCGCCATGGCTGTGTCTCCTCTCAGTTAGTCCGTCTCGCTCCGGGTTTGTTTACGTCTCCCACGTCTGTTTGGTACTCGGCCGTCCTCCCTCCTCACGGCCTCTGCGGTCGGACGGCCACCGGCGAGCCCCCAGCTATTGTGAGCCTCCCGCCGGCAGTCTGCCGCTGTTGACACGGCCCCTGATTAGCCGGCAGAGCCTGTCGGCTCTGCCGGCGCTAAATTGGGCGGGCTGCGACCCGGCGGCCGATAGCGCGACCCCGCAGTATGAGGCGGCGCGGCAGGTCACTGTGACTTGGCTGAGACCTGTGGGGCGGCGCGGCAGGTCACTGTGACTTGGCTGGGACCAGTGGGGCGGCCCCGCAGTGTGAGGCGGCGCGGCAGGCGTCGGTGGCTGTGGCTGGAACCTGTGGCGTGACCGCCGGCTGTGGGACTGGATGGATACATGTGTCTGTGGCGTTTTAACGTTTGTGAGGTGTTCCCGCCGGCGGACCAGCAGGGTATGGCAGTGCGGACTGCGGACCGTTCCGGGCGGTAGTGTGACCGCCCAGCTGCCTGCCGGCTGTCTGCCCGGGTCAGGGAGCTGGCACACTCCGCTATCATTCCCTGTCCTATGCCGCCTTCAGTTCGGACTGGGTCGCCGCCAGCCGTGAGCTGCGGCGGTGGACACTGGAGTCTGAGCGGCCCCGGTGCCGCCGCCAGCCGTGAGATGCGGCGGTAGACCCGCTGCTGAGACGGAGCGGCCCCCGCCGGCCCCCGCCTCTGTGGACGGGGCGGACAGGCAGACCCGCCGTCTGACCGTCCGCGGCCTCCGGACAGACCCGCCGTCTGACCGCCCGCGGCCTCTGGATAGGGCGGACAGGCAGACCCGCCGTCTGACCGCCCGCGGCCTCTGTCGCCGTGCCGCCTGTCGATGGCCTCCGTCGCCGCGCCGCCTGTCGCTGTTTACACAGAAGGGAGCCGGTGTACTGTCCAGCCGGCCGGCCGGTCAGTTCAGTGTTGCCGGGCGCTGCACGTCCAACCCGCTGACCCAGCGCCGGCTCCCCGCACTGCGCCAGCCGGTATGTGTCGTATGGGTTCTCAGTTACCATCCAGTTCAGCCGACCCATCTGCCGAGACTGCTCTGTTAGCTCAGCTGGAGTACAACGCCCCAACTCAGTCCGGCAGCCGAGTGCAGCTTTTCGGGCTGGGCTGAGCCGTGTGGTGTTACCGAAAGGTCGACATTCCCGCGTGTCGTTACCGGCGCCGCGCTGGGCTGCGCTGGTCGGCGCCGGCGGCCGGCCAGTGACCCCGCCGGCGGTCCCTGACCTTTCTGGTCGGAGTAGTCTCCCGGGAGGTCGGCTGGGTCACCGACTGTCCACGGCGCTCTGACCCGTCCCCCATCTCCCCCTCCCTCCCACTGTGCACTGACGCCGGCGTCACGTGTCCGCGGCTAGTGCCGACGACAGACAGACAGCTCTTCCGCGTGGCCAAGGCCGGGAGCTAACGGCCGCCACCACCGCTGAACCGAGCCCCAGCGACCGGCGGCGGACGGCGGCGGAGACCGGCGGATGACGGCTGACGGGCGGCGGCAACAGGGGCCGGCCGACCGAGCCACGCATGACTGTTAACGTGGCGAGCTGTCAGAGAAAGAAAATGGTGTCGCTGGTGGTTGAGCTCTGCTTTGCCCCCGTCTTTCGACATGGAGAGCAACAGTCTGTGAGAAAGCGCACCGATAGGTCTGCGACTCAGCAATGAGTGCAGCATAAGGCGAGCTGGTCACGCTGTGCAGATTGGTCCGTCGGCCTGACAGCCTGGCCGACCATGTCCCGGCTGAAGACGGCTGCACAGGGCCCGTGTGGTCAGACGCGGGCGTGGTTCATTTGAGAAACTCCGGAGAGGCAACGCGGGATGATGGGAAGACAGGACTGTTGGGAAGACAGGATTGTCGGACTACTGAGAGCTCATGCCTTTCTGCGGAACCGTTTTGTTGTCTCAGGCACTGAGCCACAGATTGAAGCGGAAGTTGCGGGCAAGGACTGGACCAGTTTGACATTTTTTGTCTAGTGCTGCCCATCCCATCCCGTCCCGGATGGAACCGGATGGTCCCTCGGCCGACCGGCGCGGTGTTCCCTGACTGGGTGTGATCGATACCCCGGCCCGTGGTGGTGGCGCCGGGCGCAGACATTCACTGGAGGGGGGGGGGGGCAGCATTCCGAGCCGCCTCCGGGCAGCACTCGGCCGCCCCTGGCCGTCAGCCAGCGGCGGCGGCCCACCGTCCACCTCCCCCTCCCCCCTCCAGTCAGGAAGGGACTCGGCCGGGTCAAGGCCGACCGCCGGCGCCCGGAGCCTGACCAAGGTCACGGCGCTGCCGTGACGTGTGGTGCCGTCCCGTGCCGCTCCCACCAGCCGCAGAGCTGATTACTACCGGGGCGTGAGACACCGTGGGTCTCTCCGGCCGCCCGTCTCTGGAGCCTGCCACCGCCTGGGTCACTGTGTCCCAGTCCTCTGGTCGGGTCCCGTTGTCACCCTCCTGCGGCAACACCATACCACTCCAGTATTGGTCGTGCATACGGGACAGTCTGCAATGCCGAGCGGGGTGCCGCGGGCGGTGCTGGAGCTGCGCTAACGGGACCGGGCTGGGGAGTCGGCCTATGAAGGACACCGGGAGGTGGCCGCGCGCCGGCGGCGGCTGGTGTACCCCAGACGCCGCCCTGAGCTCCGCCCAGTATTGGCCGATGTGTTGCCGCTATCCGGCCGCGGTGGCGTCAGGATGTTGCTGTCACTGCCCGGCAGCTGCCTGAGCGCTGTGTTCGGTGGAGCTCTCTGCAGGATGGCAGATGAGGTTTGCCTGCTGGCTGCTGGCGGAACGCGCAGGGAAAGTGGCCAGCACGGGACCGCCGACCGCCGACCGCCGCCGGACACGGACACGGCCGCGGGCTCGGACGCCGTGTTTCGATTGGCTCCTTGGAGTGACGGCTTCCCTCCCCCCCCCCGCCCCGCCCTCTCCGTCCCCCCACTCCAGCTCGGAGTGGCACTCGACGCGCGGCGGCTCTGACGTCACGGGTGGGCGGGGCCCGGCGGCCGAGTGACGTCACCGGCGTGCTCGGTGGGCGGGACCACGCGCTCGGAGTCGGCGCACGGCGCGGGGCCGTGGGCTGCAGGCTGCTTCCGGGGCTTGTGCCGCGTGACGTAGCTCCACGGTTAGAGGAGTGGTCGGTGGGAGGGACCAGCCCCGCTGGGATTCCCTGCCCTCAGCCGAGTGGATGGGGTGGAGTACGGTGGTCCGCTCTGCCCCGCCGCTGTGGAACTGTGACACTGGGCCGTCACGGAGCTCTGTCGTGTAGCTCGGTCCCTCACGACGGCCTGGTGCCGTGATGATCCCCGAGTCCCTGTCACGGAACTGGGACGGTGTGCCGCCGCTCCCAGCCCGGCCGGTACGGCGGACGGGCTGCCCGTGTGCGCGAGCCGAGGTCGGCCGGTGAGAGCTGCACCTATCGGCGGCCATCAGCTCCCCGTCCAGTGTTCGGCCCGCCGTGGCTGGGATGGCCTCTGGGGGCGCACTGGGCCCTCCGAGAGCGGCCATCAATCGATGGTGACGGGTGGGGCGGCGCGGACCACCGCGGCCGGCGGGGAGCGGCCACCGGCGGCAGTCACCGGTCAGGGCCTGACTCAGGGCCGGACGGGCAGCGTCCACCAGTCACCCAGCAGAGGCTCGGCGGTGACCAGACTGCCAGCGATGGGCCGGGAGTGCACGTCGGCGGTAAGGACGCCCGGTTTGTAGCCGCTGCGCCGCGCTCGGTAATCCATACCGAGCACGCCGCTGCTTCCGGGCCGGGGATGATGCCGGGCCGGGGATGAGCTGAGAGCGCCCGGCCCGGCCCGGTGCCGGTTTTTACGCTGACTGACTCGGTCCGGCGTGCAGCCCGAACGGGGAGAGCTCGGGGCTGTATCCGCCCGCTCTCTGTCCGTATACGGCCGTGGTGTATCAGCGGCGTGGTGTCCGCCGCGGCGCGAGTCGGCTCAGCGCCGCAGTCGGCGGTCGATGCTGGCCGCGGTCCGATTCAATAAATCCTCGCCCGATCACGGCACGGTCGAGGGCCGCGTCCGACCGGGACGGAGACCGAGGGAGATGGGAACAGAGACAGAGCCAGTCCGCTTCCGTCCGAGTCGGAGGGAGATGGAAACAGAGACAGAGTCATGCATTAGTTAGTGATGCAAACGTGGAAAATGAAAATTAAGACTCTGGCAATGGAGGAAGCAGTATCGGGAAGGAAGGGCCGCATTGCGGAATACGTTTCATGGAAACGGTGTTATTGTACTTTGTGACATGCTGAAAAACACGGCTCCTCGTTCTGTTTATGCCACTTCAGGCTGTTAAAAACTTAAAATGGACGTATGTTTTTTGTTCAAGTGTTGCCACACCGAAGGACGGTAGCGGTGTGACACTGAGGACCACGGGCTGGTTCACTCCCGGCCATCAAATGTGATCACTTTGTGTGCACTGCTGAGGGCCCACACCCGGTGCTAGCTGATGGCGCCGTGCAGGCCGCGCGGCCGATGGCTGATGTATCGTTTTACAGGCCGCCGTCAGCTGAGGGAGCTATTATTGGCGGCGGTGTTTGGTCGGCTCGGTGCAGTCGGGTCGTCGAGTGGCGGTGACGGCGGCAGTCCACGATGTCCGACAGCTCTCCGACAGCAGTCCTCTGCAGCTAGGCAGCTGTCAGCTGTTAGCAGCGGCCAGTTGTGCGGTCACGACTCGTTGGGCTTTAGGGAGTGATCGAATCGGGAGAACGAGGGTGGTGAGGAGAAAAACCACCGCGGCGCAGAGGCTGAGACGTCGCCACGGAGCACAGAGACGCTGTGGTGAAGAGGATTGAAATTCACAGCCATGAGAAGTTCAGGGCGATGATCTGCCTTGGCGTTACGGCGTTTGGCGCGGTTGTTCGCGGCGCCTAGCAGCCGTCCAGCGCTGGCCTCCCCAAAACGGTCCCCACCGGCCCGGGAGCGGGCGTCTTCCGCCCGCTGCTGCTGACCCCGCCCGGACCGCTGTGTCTCCGTCTGTCTCCCTGTCTCCGGTGTCTGCGTCTCCCCGTCTCCGGTGTCGCGCCACCGGCTCGTGCTCCGCTCTCGGCGGCCGGGCCGTTTTTCGTCGGCCGTCTGTCGGGACGCGGGCTGCGGTCTCACCACCTGGCGCCGTAACGAGCTCTCTCTCCGACACGGTGGAGACCGGCGAGTGGGGCCGGCAGCTCCCGTCTCGGCCCAGCCCCGACTGCCGGGAGTTCCCGGTCCCCGGGTGCCGTGAACCCGCTCCGGGGCGCTCCCCGCTGACTGCCGACCGCCACCCGTTGACGCAGGAGAGCACGGTCCGCGTCCAAACAAACAGCGGCCGCCGCGCCGCCCAGCTCTCCCGGCTCTGTCCAGCTCTGCCAGCGCTGCCCAGCTCTCCCAGCGCTCTCCCGGCTCTTCCGGTGATGTCCCAGCTCTCCCGGCGCTCTCCCGGCTCTCCCGGTGATGTCCCAGCTCTCCCGGCGCTGTCTAGCTCTCCCAGCTCTCCCGACGCTGTCCCAGCTCTCCCGGCTCTCCCGGCGCTGTCGAGTCCTGCTGCTGTGTGCACTGTGCAGCTATGTGACCGCCCGGAATATGGTAAATGTAGCGCCCTACCGGTCTGACGCCTCAGGACAGTGTACTGGGGACACGGCGCACCCCGGGGGAGGCCCGACTGACCGCTCAAACTCGGCCGCCGATGTTTCGGAGTGAACTGGTCTGCGCCGCCCCTGATTGAATTTCCTGTCCGCCGGCTGGTCAGTCAGTCAGTCAGTCCGTCTCTGATCGGCGCCGGCCCGTCCCCCACCACTCCGCCGGTCGGTCCGGTGTGGTCCGGTCTGTTTGACCCGCCGGTCCGCGGCCGAACTCATTGCCGTGTGGGGCGCGGCGTGCAGCAGCCCCGGCCGGCTGTGGCTGGCTGCTCTGCTCTGGACCGGGCGGTGGACGCTGTGCTCTGATGGTGTCGCCTGAGCGGGCTAGGGGTGACTGAGGTGGAGGATCGCCGCTCACTGGACCGGCCGTCTGGGTCGTCGAGCTGATGGTGCTCCGTAACCCGCAGTCCGCCCTAGATTGCCTCGTGGCGCTTCATCGTTTCATTTCCTGTCTCATCCTCTATTTGTCAGCCTCCCTTTTGTCTGTACCTTTCTCTCCCCTCAGCTCGGCGGATCCGCCTTCCTCCCCCTCTCGCTCCGGTCGCCGCTGCTCTCGCGGCCCGTGCGGTGTGGACCGGACCGTTCTCAGGCTGTCGTCAGCGTCCGACGGCCACCTGCCCGGCCGCCCCCTCTCCGCCGAGCCCCTGCCGAGCCGAGCTGGGGCCGGTGGTCGGCGACCACCTTCCTATTCAGCCCTGCCCACCGGGCGGCCCTGAACGGGCGCTGACGCGGCCCGCCGCCCGCCCGCCGGCCGTGGGACGGAACGGATGGAGCTGTGAGACGGGACGCACAGGGACGCGGGACAGGACGATACCGGGCGAACGCTGCCTAGAGATTGCCTAGAGGGCACGATTCCTGTTGCGTACCCTGCCGCTCATTGTGCTGTTATATAAATTGTCAACGAAGTCTGTTGGCGCAAATTGACCTCAGCCGTCTTGTCTCCTAAAGCTTTCATCAAATAAACGAAATCTGTGAGATGTAAATATATTATGGTGGCTTACGCACAGGTCAGGCGACGCTCGTACCCTGCAAACCCGAAGCTACCGGGCTGCGGGCGAGCTCCGGCACGCCTTTTGATGTTGTTTAAAACGACTGCCGGGTGTGACAGCTCATCAGCTCCAGAAGACCAAATGCTTCCCGTTTCCATTGCATCATCTGAGCTCAGGCTGTGTGCTGTGTGGGCGCTTGTCTCGAAGTTGATCGCTGTCTATGTTTATCATGCCGGCTATGACAAAGCTCTTGTGGTGCTCTTGTATCGACATGTGGTGTAATCTGTTCATGCATTCAACATGCGTGTTTTGTCAGCTTTCTGTGTACTTGTGTCAGCATCTCTGTCTGGGACTGTGTCGCGTCGGTGTAAGCGTCCCTTCTCCCGTCTGACTGTCTGACCCCACCCCCTTTTTCTGTCCACAGCGGGACCGGCCGGAGCTCACCACGATCCTGCAGGAGATGGTGGGCCCGTTCCCGGCGCTGGTCACCCCGCTCAAGGTCAACCCGCCGCCCTTCCAGTTTCCCGCCTCCAGGGTTAGTACTCGGCCGCTTAGCGTCATCGAGCGGCAGGGCAAGGGCAGAGGGAGTCTCCGAATCACTCGCTTGGCCGCATAGGAAGAGCCGGGGCACGGCTCTGCCAGTCACTGGGCTACATAGGAAGAGTCGGGGCACGGCTCTGTCAGTCACTGGGCTACAGGGGAGCGTTAGGGGCTAGGGCACGGCTTTGCCAGTCACTGGGCTATATGGGTGGGTCAGGTCACGGCTGTGTCAGTCACTGGGCTGCATGGTAGCGTTAGAATGCGGGCGGCAGGAAGTCACTGGGTCAGTCACCGATTCTTTCGACCGTGTTGCCACGCAAGTGGACGGATATAGGTTGGTGGCTCGTTTTACCCTGGACTCCCGGGGGCGGTGGTGTTGCCGCGGCCCGTCCCCATGGTGTCCCGGTAGGCGGGTGGCTGGTGGTTTATCCGGCTGTACTGTGCGCTCTCCCTGCACCCGCCGCGGCCCGCCTCTAGCGGCGCACCGTTCACCGAGCGGTGCAGTCGGCGCGGCGCCGCGCCAGTGGCTGTGTTGCGCCACCCTGACCCCGTCACCCGCCCCGCCTCACGGGCCGGGGGGGGGGGGGCGGTGAGGCGCCGCGGCCGAGAGACAGGCCGAGCACGGCGCTACGCCCGCCGTAGTCGGAGCACGCCCCCGGCGCGGCCGGCTCGTTAGCCGGCCGCCCGGCGCCCTCGGCAAATAACGTCATTTCACACGCGGCCGCCGCTTAATGAGGTGCCGCGCCGTGCGGGCGAACGCCGGGTGGCCCGAGCTTTACCGGTGGGCGAGCGGAGTCTGTTCCCGCCGTGAGCCGGGGGAACTGCAGGTCTGTGTCCGCCGTGAGCCGGGGAACTGCAGGTCTGTGTCCGCCGTGAGCCGGGGGAACTGCAGGTCTGTGTCCGCCGTGAGCCGGGGGAACTGCAGGTCTGTGTCCGCCGTGAGCCGGGGAAGCTGCAGGTCTGTGTCCGCCGTGAGCCGGGGGAACTGCAGTTCCATCCCCGCCGTGAGCCGGGGGAGTTGCAGATTGTTCCCGCCGTGAGCCGGGGGAACTGCCGTTAGAGGCAGTGCTGTGAGGACCCGCAGCTGGTGAGGGGACCGGTGTCAGACTGGTATCTCTCCTATGCCAGTGGCTGATCACCTGATTTGGGTGTGTTGAAGTGGTGGTTCGCATATCCTTCATCTCTCAGCACCCGGTTATCTCATTACGACCAGTCCATTTGAAGGCCATTTGCAGGCGCTCGAGCCCGGTACTCATGTTTCCGGCATGGAGATAACGCTGGAGCTTACTCGTGGAGGTGAGCCGCTTTGTCCAGCCAGCCGCTGAGCGGCGCGGCGCCATTTTACGTCTGGCCGCTATCGTTTGGTATTGCGAGCACACCTGGGCCGGCGGAGATTGGAGTGATATGTGGCCATACGGTGGCCAGCGGCCGCCCGGAACTGCGGCGCTGCCGACCGGTGACCGTCCCCAATCAATTCGGTATCAACTCTGGTAGCTGAATGGAGTCACGATCCTTATTGACGTCATTGGTATATTTGGAGGCTGAAACAGTCCCTGAAGGCCGGTGCAATGTGTCAGACTTTGTTGGATCCAGGATCCTATGATGACGTTTTGGAACATTTCTGTCATTATTGCACCCAATTAGGGATGCTTCATTTCTGAAAGAAATATCAAGTAGGCGTTGAAACTTAACCACAAGAAGTGTTTGCCGACCGTTCACGTTCACTCCGTCACTACCTCAGGTGACCGGCTCGACGGCAGCAAGTGATAGCTGATCAGTGATCAGTCACCGATTACATTCATCAGCGATGGTCGTTTGATGATCCTGTCTCAAGGCAGACGCACCTAAGTCGCTGCTTGGGTACCTGGCCCTCACGGTGGTCTCTGTGACGGCGCCGTGATCGACACAAACCTTCACCGGGCGCGGCAGTCGGCCGAGCGGCGGCCTGTGTTCGCAGCTTTCCCTGAAGCCGACCGGCTCGGAGGCTCGGAGTGGCGCCGCCACTGCCATCTGTGAGCGGCGGCGCCAACTGGCTGCGGCGGCCACCCGGCGCGGCGGGGGCCGGTGTCGGTACTCGGCCGGTGGCCGCCGGTAACCTATTGATCCCGGCACGAGTCGGGGTATTTGTGGACCGGCTCTGATTGCGTCTGAAGACGGCCAGCGGTGAGCGCGCCACGCCGCACACCGCTGTGGGCCGGTGACGGACCTCGGCTCTGATCTCTGACAAGGTGTGGGGCCGCTCCAGGGGCCGGTGACAGGACCTCTGGGCTCTGACAGAGACACGGCGCCGCACCGCGGGCCGGGGACAGACCTCTGAGCTGTGACAGAGACGCTACGCGGTACGGCCGGCCGGTGACAGACCTCTGGGCTCTGACAGCCGTCAGTGACAGCTAACAATGGTCAGCCGCCACTGCGGTGGCCGGTGACGGGCCCACGGGGTTCCGCTCGGGGTACCGGCCAGTGCCGCCCTCCCTCCCACTCCCTCCCGGATATACGGACCGCCCCCCCCCAGCCCCCCCCCCCCAGCCTGTCCGATGGGCTCACACCGAACTGGACGTGTCACGACGGCCGTGCGGTATTGTGGGGCCGCATTCCGTGCTCTGATGGAACGACTCTCGGGGAATTTATCTGGTGGTGATGGGAAGGGCTGGCGTCTGTTGGCTGGATTATTTGTAGCGCCGATGGCATTGATGATAAACATTGAACATTGAGATGGCACGTGGTGTATTTAGTAAACGATCGTCAGCTCGCCCTGGGGCCCGTTGCAGAACCACAGTGTAAGAGTCAACGGTAGCCATGGAGAATTGATTTCACGTCCTTCTGTTGTCACAATTTATAATTTAGAGACATCTTGGAACGGTGCGGCTGTCATGCGTGACGCCTCCTTTGGTGTGGTGCTATTTGTGTTTCACTCGAGCCTTTCGGGAACGTCCCGTTATGGAATGGGGCTGCTTTGCTGGGCGTTTTGAGACGGTACTTGGCGTCGGACAACAAACAGACAGACACATGGATAGACAGACAGACGCAGACAGACATGGATAGACAGACGGACAACTGCCGTGACCGCTGACGGTACGGCGCGGTGACCGGGTGGAGGCCTGTAACTGGGTCAGAACAGCGCGCGCGGCGCGGCCGAGCTGTCGCCGGCGCGGCCACTCGGACTGGGTCAGGGCTAGCCGCCGCCGCCGCCGCCGCCGCCGCCGCCGCCGTCACTGCGGCTCGGCCGGCACCCGCGGCTCCGCCGCCCGTCACCCGTCAGCGAGCCGAACCCGCTGGTTTCACGGGACGGCCGCCCGGAATGTGGACGGAATGGCTCCGAGCGCCGCTGACGCAAACCCGTCCAGAGCTGCTGGGAACAGGTGATGACACGGGTGCGCGCAGTGAATGAAGAATGTCGGATCGTGTGCGGCCGGGGCGCACAGTGGACCGGTTAGCGTCCTTCTGTCGCCTGGGTGGGAACGCAGGCAGTATAGCAGACGCCACCCTGGCTGCTCACCTGAGGCACACGGTTTCGGCAACGGAAACCTCTGGGTTTCGCTGCTTCCTGCCTCTGCGATCTGTTGGGGCTAGATCTGTGGAGTCTCCGCGGGTGGGAAGGGCTAGGGGCGTGGAATCTCCGCGGGCGGGTCGGGCTAGGGGCGTGGAATCTCCGCGGGCGGGAAGGGCTAGGGGCGTGGAATCTCCGCGGGCGGGAAGGGCTAGGGGCGTGGAATCTCCGCGGGCGGGAAGGGCTAGGGGCGTGGAATCTCCGCGGGCGGGAAGGGTTAGGGGCGTGGAATCTCCGCGGGCGGGAAGGGTTAGGGGTGTGGAATGTTCGCGGACGGCCAATGTAAGCGGCATTCCGGGCGGCCGACCATGCCCGCCAGCAGCTCTCCGGACTCCGGAGCGGTGCGTCACCTTTTGGGGGTGTGGCGGGTCGTCAGCCGCCGGCCGCTGACCGCTGACCGCCGGCCGCTGACCGCTGACCGCTGACCGCTGACCGCCGGCCGCTGACTGCTGACTGTGGGCCGGGTCCGCGGTGGCCTGTTTCCACTGAGACGGACAGAAGAGGGGACAGGTCGCCCCAGTGCTGATCAGGGTCCGGCCGCCGAACCGGGCCGGTCAGCGGCAGGTAGCCGCTCCATGCCGAAGCAGCCTGTGCTCATGGTGAAATATGTGTGTCGATGAGGCAATATTGTAACGATAGATTAATGATGGATAGATACATCGTTGTGAGGCCGGCCCCACCAGCGGTGACCGGTCGCTGCCCTCCCACCGTGTCCGTCCGACGGGTATGGTGACGGCGTGCACGGCTCGCGCGGCAGGTGAAAGTGGTGAACAGGTTTGTGTTTGCCGACCGCCGGACACTGGTCACTGGTCAGTGGACGGCGCCGCGCCGGGTCAGCTGGTGGCCAGCGGGGAGGGGGGGGGACAGAGACGGGGACGCGGAGAGGGGCACTACGGGGCGAGCAGGAGGGACGGGGCACCGCGGCCATAGGGCAACGGTGGATCGGCGGGCAGACATGTGGCGCTGTTGGTACCGACAAAGTGCCTCCGGCCCGCCGGTCAGTCGGTCGGCTGTGGCCGCGGCGGGATTTGGTGTCCCCGGCGGCGCTGTGCCGGACAGGCCGACGGGCTGACCTGGCTAACCGTCGGAATGCCTGCCACTCTCGCCTCCTGGATAGATTCCCGTGACTCAAGGCATTGCGTTGATGAAAGTAAACAGCGCCGCCACCTTTTCGCCTCCATTTATTCCATTGAGCGTCGATTTGTGTTTTGTGCCGCGCTGTGTTCGCCGTACGAGTACCGCACTTTGCCGAGTTGTAACGTGTACCTTTGTGATGTTCAAGGTCCCTCTTTAAACACCTGACCGCCTCATCTCCGTCTGACTGTCTGTTACCTGTGACTGTCCCTCTGTCTCGCTGGCCCTCCCCGTCTGACCGCCCCCTCCCGGGTGTTTCAGGACGCGCCCGTCACGCCGCTGCAGCGCACGCCGGAGCAGCACGGTGAGCTCCGCCGCTGTATGTGCGGTAGTTGTGAGCGCGTCTCGCTGTCGTGTTCAGGTACACAGTCGGTGCATTGAGGCCGGTACCGACCGGGGACGGGATCGATCCGCGGAATGGGGCCGCCGCATACCGCTTTGGCTCGCACCTGGGCCCGCGCTGCAGTCGTTACCTTCCCGGGTCAGCCCCATCAGAAGGGCGGCGGGGGGGGGGGGGGGACGGGATGTCTCACTGCTCCCATATACTAGTGCGGACAAATCACACTCCTCCGCCCCGCACCCACAGCCCTGTGTGATGTCCTTGGGTATGTTCGTGTGTATGTGTGTGCGTGACCTGTGTGAGTCGCTGTGCACAGCTGAGTGTGCAACCAGCCGCTGGCTTGGAGCTCGGTGGTGCGCTGAAGCTGGGCAACCATTGATTGGAGCGTCGGGCGGCGGAGCGGAGCCCGGCCGGTCACTCGGCGCGCTGACCGGGCCCTGTGTGACGCTCGTTACAGGTCGGGAGCCGGCCGCGCCGCGGGACGACACGGAGAGGCGGCGCGGCCGACCGGCGGCGCCGCCCGCTCCGACGGCGCCCGGCCGGCCGGCCGCCGCGCCCGCGCCCGCCTCTGCCGCCATACCGTGAGTAGCGCTGCTACATCGTGAGTACGCGTCTGAGTGTTTGATCGGTGGATTGTTTCTTACCTTTTATCGCCTTCAGGTGTGCTTTCTCTGACGCAACGGGCCGTGTTGTACGCGAATTTGTCCATACCGTTCAAATGACCAGCCCCGTCTGCGCTGGTTTGCGTTCAGTGAGTGCAGCACACTGTGTTACGGTAGCCCGTGTTATGGTGCACGCCGCACTGGGACCGTGCAGCCGCCGGCGGGGGAGCCCCCCTCCCCCAGCTGCACCCTCGGCCTGTCTTATTACCGACACGAACCACGGTCACGGGATCAGCAGTCAGGGGTCGCCGGCGCCCGTCGCGGCGTGTCATTATCGCCTGTGCACGGAGGACGGCAGTGTGTGAGATGGCGCATTAGCACCTCGCCGCAGCGGTTTAAATCAGGCCACCAGGAAAGGCGTGATCGTGACATATGCTGATAATTTCCAGCGCGATAGAGATTGCTGCAATGATGTGAGAGATCGAACACAACACTGGTACTGTCGTTATGGAAGCGCACTCAGTGTAAGAAATGAAACCGATGCCCGTGCTTGGCACATGCTCATTTGGAACTCATTGTCCGTAAAGTTTCAATAGAGGCCTGCTGATTTTCCTGGTCGTGTAACTGCTGAACCAGACGGACGGGCGAGGACAGTACGGTCGGCTCCTGGGCCAGGGTCGCGCGTGTCGCCGCTCCAGCTCAGCTGTGGCGGCGCCGCGCTCCCTCGGCGCACTGGTCCAGCCCTCGGCCGCGGCCGGAGGACCGGAGTACTATGGTGACTCTGGCTCTACCGTGACTCTGTTTCAGCTCTGTCGGAGGTTCTGACTACTGTGACTGTGTTTCAGCTGTCGTTCGGAGGACTCTGACTCTGACTGTGGTGTGACTCTGTTTCAGCTCTCTGTCGGAGGACCTGACTCTGTCGGAGGACTCTGACGATGACTGTGGTGTGACTCTGTTTCAGGTCTCTGTCGGAGGACCTGACCCTGACTGTGGTGTGACTCTGTTTCAGGTCTCTGTCGGAGGACCTGACTCTGTCGGAGGACTCTGACGATGACTCGGCGGCGCACAAACACCAGCATCTCCCTCAGCAGCCGGCGGTGTCGGTGTCGGCTTCCCGGGGCTCCGGCCGCCTCTCCGACCGGTCCAGGTCAGTGCGATCGGCCGCCTACCCCAGGGGCATGGCTGTCTGTGTGCCAACAGGGGTAACGGAAAGTCAGTGAGGACCAGTCTTTCTACCCAGGGGGCACGGCTGTCTGTGTGTCAGTAGGGGTAACGGTCCAGGTCAGTGCGACCGGCCCGTCTACCCCAGGGGCATGGCTGTGTCAGCAGGGGTAGCGGTCCAGGTCAGTGCGATCGGCCCGTCCTCCTACCCCAGGGGCATGGCTGTGCCAACAGGGGTAACGGTCCAGGTCAGTGAGGACCTGCCCGCCGGTGCCAGGGCACAGCTGGGGTACCGGAGGCTCATCATGGGTGGGGTGCGGGAGCTGTGTCCCAGCAGAGATCACAGACAAATCACTGACTGACGAGATGCACGAGCACGAACAGGTCGACGGGCCAGCGGAGGGCGTGGACCACAGTGTGCAGTCAGGTCTGAACCAGAGGTCAGTGGTGACCTCTGGTTCCTCTGGAGGTCGCTGTCGGTAGGTCAGGGTCAGGCTCGGCCCGCTATGTCGGTAGGTCAATCTCGGCCCGCCGTCGGTAGGTCAGGGTCAGTCTCGGTCCGCCGTCGGTACCGCAGCTGGTCAGTGTCGGTGCCGGGAGGTCGGTCTGTCCGCTGCCGACTCCGGCGCGGTGCGGAGAGCGGCCGAGCTGTCCCCGCTCGCCGGGCGAGCTGTGGCCGAGCCGTCCCCGCTCGCCGGTCGAGCTGTCCCCGCTCTCCGGCCGAGCCGTCCCCGCTCTCCGGCCGGCCGGCACTCCTTTCACCCAGCCTTGGCGGCGGATTTCGCCGCAGAGCGGACCGCGCCGCGTTCCGGTTCCTCCGGTTTTCGTCGGCATTTGATGGCTCTGCCGCGGCTGGCCTCCCTGTAGAGGAGCTCCCATTAGTTCCATGTTTCCGCTGGTCCAGGGACGGCGGCCGGGCTGGCACCGGTGGCGCCGGTGTGTGTCAGAGCGGCGGGGAGCCCGGAGCGGGGTGTCCCCAGTAGGCAGTCCCCAGCTCGCAGTCCCCCAGTACTGAACCAGACCTCTGGGGGCCGGTCAGGGGTGGGGTGGGAGGGGGGGGGGGGAGCCGACTGTGGTCTCGTCACACGACATCGTGCCATCGGCACACCGTCATGTCAATGCATGGTCACATGGTGTTACCACACCATCAGATGGTCACATCCATGTTCCATATTGTAACATGTCACCTATTCACCCCTCCGTCACAGGTCTCACCTCCACAGTCAGAGGCCACACCCCACAGTCACCGCCACACCCTCCACAGTCACAGGTCACACCTCGCTGTCACAGGTCACACACCCACAGTCACGCACCGATCACTCGATCGGCCTGCTCTCCCCACGTGTCGGGCTGTTGGGTAGCTGCCAGCCCCTCCCACCCCGCTCCCACTCCCACGCTCACTCTCCCCGGCGGCTCGGCTGTGCCACGTGACCCACTCCCGCCGGCCATGGCGCCGTCACGTGACTGGGCTGTGGCTCCGGCGGCCGGGTCACTTGATGTGGCGGCGGTGTCGTGAGTCGGTTTGAACAGGTTTGGCGTGGCCCGCGGGCCGGCTGCGGTGTCTGCTGGGGAGGGGACGGGGGTGTCGTCACCTAGCCCTTTCCTCACCGACGCCCACATGGGACCGGCCGTCCTGTGACCGGACTGGAGCCCGGGATCACAGTGTGTTTGAGCCGTCTATTTCGAGCGGTGACACCAGTACGCCACACGTGATCGGGGACTCGGAGTGACGAAACCGGCTGGCTGGGAGAGCAGCGAGTGTCGGGAGCGGGAGCAGGGGAGAGCAGGACCCGGCGACTGTTTGTGTGTCGCCGCGGTCCGACCAGAGGCCGCCCGCCGTCACACTGTGACTGTGACCTGCACCAGTGTGTCGGCGGAGGTGTGCTGGGTGCGGCCGGCCGGAATGGCACGCCCTGCGGCGGCCGCTGGCGGAACAGTGGCGCGCCGGGCCGATTTCCCGAGCCGTGTCACTTTCCCCGGCGGAGCGGCTGGCCGCTCCTGGCCGCCGCTGGATGTCATAGGGCCTCTCACGGCGGCGGGTTCCGTCTGATCGATCCCGTCACCGAGTCAGCCCGCGCGGTCCCCAGCTCTGTGTCAGCAGGAGGCTACCGTCAGCTCACACACGAGGTAATCCGCGGAAGCAGTTTGTGTGTCTTGGTAGTCTGTGATGTCCGCTTTAGCGTATCGTCTGCCGGCTCGCTGCTGTGGAGACGCCTACTATGACGCCCTCAATGAAGCCGCCTGTGTAGTATGCGATGCAGAGGCCCGGCAGAGCGTCTGCGGCCCGTTCGGTGTTCGGGCCCCGCGGTCCGGACATCGGTACGTACCGCTCAGCCCGCCGCAGCCAGCGGCCCGCCGGGCTGGCAGCGCCGCCGTCCGCAGTCGATCCTCTGGGTGACAGGGATCCGTCACCCGGGTATCCCCGTCATCCTCAGGGTGACGGATATACCCGCCACACGGGCACTGCAACTGTGACAACTGTGCTACAGTGCTGCAGCTATTGTTACCCTATTTAGGTATATCCACTCAAAAGTCATGAGGCACGTCTAACAAAAGTTCATGTCAACATATCAGCGCATGATTGTCACGAACAATGTCTCCATATTTATGTTACCAATGTATGCAGCTGTAACTGCTGGCCGTCTGATCTGCCACCTGTGTTTGTGAGGGGCCGGGCTTTCCGTGTCCGCTGACGTCTGTTCGAGGCGGCGTCGGGGGCGCAGCTGCCGCCGGCCCGCAGCCGCCGGGGCCTCGTAGCCGCCGGGGCTCTCGACTCTGTCCGGTGACGGCCCGGTTAGAGCCGTGGCAGGCTCGGCGGGCCGCCAGCGGTGGCAGCAGCGAAGGTGGTCAGAAGGGGACGCGCCTCACCGACGGCGCAGCACTGTTGTAGAGCATATCACCCAGTCCCGACTGGAGCTCTTTTTGACCTAATAGTGGCCCTCAAGGCGCCGCTGTCGCCCGGTACTGTGTACTTAGGGCTGACGTGATGAGCATGCGCTGATCAGCCAGCACCTCAGTGTTAGTGGCTCAGCGGGCGGCGAGTCCGTTCACTGGTGTGTCCGAAATCGGCGTGTGTGTGCTGTGGCCCCGCTGTACCTCGCTCTGTAGGTCTGTACTGCTCAGCTGCAGACTGATCCGGGCGGCTGCCGCACGCGGCTCGCAGTGCCGCGGTAACCTTTAGCCGCTGTTTTTCGTGCTGTTTGACCGGCGCCGTATACACCGCGGCGCGGCCGACACCGGCCGACATTTTGCCAGACATTTTCAGTACGACACTGAGCGGGTCACGGGCCGGCACACGGGGCGCCGGCCGACCGGCCGCTCTCTCTCCGCGCCGCCGCCGGTCGGCCGGGGCGCCTCTCCGGGCTGAGCGTGCGGACCGGACCAGCTGGCTATGACCGGAGCGGGCGGCCGGGGCGACACGGGGACCGGAGCGAACTGACTACACGTCGCAGCCCGGCCGGGGACCACCCGCAGCCGCCGGGGTGACCGGAGCGGGCGGCCGGGGCGACACGGGGACCGGAGCGAACTGACTACACGTCGCAGCCCGGCCGGGGACCGCCGGAGCGGGCGGCCGCCGCCGGGGTGGCTGGGACGGACGGGCGGGGAGTCCACGGGGTAATGAAACCCCTGCTTGGGTGGACAACGGGCGGTTCCTGCCTCGTCCTGTCGCCGTCTCTTCCAGCGATGGATGGCGTCTTCGGTAGCGCCGGAGAGCTGAGATCTGTCGGCCGGCCGGCCGGGCCGTGGTGAGACGGTGCAGTTAGCAGTACCACTCAGAGCCGTGTGGCTGGCCTATCGATCCTGGCCGGGTGCTAGGCGCCGCCAACCGTCCGACTGGCCAGCTCAGTTGAAACGCGCGCCAGACGGGCGGCCTGATTACCGAGCTGCCGGGAGCGGGTCGGCGGGGGGAGTTACGGGGAAGGTCCGGGAGTCGGGGGAGTCACGGACCAGAGGGACGGCTGGGGAGTCGGGGGAGTCACGGACCAGAGGGTCGGCTGGGGAGTCGGGGGAGTCTGTCTGGGGGAGTCTGGGGATCAGGCAGGGTCGGCGCTGGCCGTGGGGCGGCCCCAGATGGCGGCGCGCAGGGACCAGCAATATCAAGACACTTAACGTGACAGTTCTTTGGAGCTCCCGCTCCGGATTGCTAACCATCCATATTTGTTGGAATCTGGAACTTGCAGGAAGCCGGAATGACCCTGCAACTCACAGTATTTTACGATCCTGCGGGCCTGACTCAACCTGGAAAGGGCGTTGGGGTTAACTGCCTCAATAACGTCGCTGGCTGGCTGGCATGACTGAATGATAATGTGCTACGCGAAAGGGCATGACGCCGCGCGGAGCGAGTAGCAGACGGCTGCGTGGGGCGGTGACGGGCGCTGTCCAACCCGTGCATCCGGCTGCCGCTGCCGAGGTGCCGGCCGGCGGAGGAGCCGCTCGGGCTGTAAGTGTAGGTGCCGTGAATCATTCTCCGGCTATCCTGGCGGTCCCGGCGGCAAGGCCGGCCGGCCGGGCGCGCTGCACCGTTACCGGTCCCGGTCGGGGCGGCCGGAGACGGGCCGACGGGCGGGTCGGACGGGCCGACACTGGCAGCGCGGCGGGGCGGCTCGGTGTGGGAGGTGTGGCCAAATGGGAGCTCGAGAACCAGCTGGAAGGAGGACTTCTGCACTCGACAAGGCATCCTGGAATCCCGGAAATCAAATATATTCAACCTAATTATAGGGTGTTGGCATGGCTCCCATGAATATGTTCGGATCATTAGAGTTTCCACTCGCTGCATTAATCCCCTCTCAGCGTGCATCGACAGGAAGCAACAGTCTCGGTGGCGCCTCGGAATGCAAACTTCTGCTGCTCTGTGAGGTTGGCTGATGGCTCTGCCAGCCGCTCGGATGCAGGCCGGGGAGAGCGGCTGCTGGCGCTGGTTATCTCGGCCATCTGTGAATTAATTAATTAGTTAATGACACGGGCGGCTGGCGCAGCGGACCGGTGTATCACCGGGACAGCTCCGACCGCGGCGGCTCGGCCGGATCGATGGCCCCCGCAGCGGGGTTGTGCGGCGTACGCACACGGCCCGAGACGCGGGACAGAGGCGCCTCGACGGTCTGCTCAGACGCCGTGGTGAGCGCGACAGCGACTAATGTAGTCGCTATATTGTACTTCAAGAAGAGCACTGTCCGTTTGGTCCGGGTAGAGCCGCAGCAAGTTCTGTGCCTGGTATGACACAGGGGGCACCTGTAAGTGGTTCCGTCAGACCGGCGTCGCTGCGCGGTGGTGGGTTCGCTCCTCTCCAGCAGAGTCCAGCACCACACACACCTCCTGCACACGCTTGGCATTATCAAACCCAGAATGAACACGGTTCCTCTGAACTTAGACACGATTGCACGCCTGATGGTCTAAATTCGAGCCCATCGCCATTCCCATGGGCTGAACTTAACGTCAGAGCTGGTGTTTTGACCTCTGCCGTGACCCTTGGTGAACCGTGTGCCCCGTCTTTCTGCGAGTTCCGGTGACCTTTTCGTGACCGAGCCGTCGTCCATTACTGCTGAGCGCCACTGCCGCCGCCTGCTGCTGGCGGCCCCTGTGGACCGCTGTGAATTCACGGGTACCGGCGTGTGGTGGTCGGCTGGGGACAGGTGGGGACTGGTGTGGGGACCGGAGTTCGTCCCGCCGTGTGTTCTGACGTGTGTCCCGCCCGCCGGCCCGCCGTCTGACCGTTCCTCCGTCTCTGCCCGCAGGCCGTCTCCGTCCGGATCCGCCGACCGGCCGGCAGCGCCCTCGGCCAAGTCGGCCGCCGCGCCGGCCGCCGCCCCGGCCGTGCGCGTGGCCTCCAGCTGCTCGTCGAGCGAGTCCGGCTCAGAGTCCGAGTCGGATGACTCTGCCGACGAGCTGCGCCCGGTGCCGGCGGCGGCCGAGCCGGCGCCCGGCTCCCCGGCCGAACAGAAGGTGAGCCGCCGACCGCGGGCGCCGCCGGTCCGACAGAGCTGGCGGGGGGCGCCGGTCGGGCCTTCAGAGCCTGTGTCGGCGTCGCGGTGACCAGGTCCTGCACATCCGCCCCCCCCCCCCCCCCCACCAGCTCTTACTGTCGCCGTGCCGTCCCCTCATGTAGCAAATCGCTGCATCCTCCAGCGCTCTCCACTGTTATGTTCCTTCATGCATCCCTATGTTGCCGGTACAGTATAGTCATTTTCCTGACCCAGGGTTTCCCTTTCTTTCACCCTCCCACGTGTCTCCCCCTTCTCACCTTCTTCTGTGACTTGTGTCACCCTCTGTACCGCCTCACACCATAGGACCGGGGGCTGTACCGCCCTCTGTATCCATTCCACCCTGTGTCACAGTCCACCACAGCAGTCACCACCCCGTCGGACCGGGGGTCGTCTGAGAGACGAGAACTGTCCATTAGGGCCGCGCAGGGGGCTGCCGGCCACACGGCGGGGCGGGTCTCTCTCTCTCTCTCTCTCTCTCTCTCTCTCTCTCTCTCTCTCTCTCTCTCTCTCTCTCTCTCTCTCTCTCTCTCTTTCTCTCTCTCTCTCTCTCTCTCTCTCTCTCTATCTCTCTCTCTCTCTCTCTCTCTTTCTCTTTCTGTGGTTTGTCTCCCTCTCCCACTCACTTACCCCTTTGGGACCCTGTACTCACGTACAGGGTTATACAGGGCTATTTATCTGGCTAAAAAGGCTTAACTTTGTCCCACCTCGCTCAGTGGTCAACAGTTGGAGAGGGAAGCTATGTCTTTCTGTCCGATGACACGTGATGCGTGTTTGATGACGCCGTGTCCGTCCGATGACGTCCGTGTCCGTCCGATGACGTCCGTGTCCGGTTGCAGGAGGGCGGCGACAGCCCCACCAAGCTGGGCGTCCAGTGGAGCCTCAGCTCCATCATGGGCAAGGACTCGGCCAGCACGCCCGTCTCGTCCATATTCGACGGCACGCCCGTCAGAAAGGTGCGCCAGCGCCGCCGCCGCTGCCGCCGCGCCGCCCCGGCGGCCGCCGCGCCAAACATACTCGGCCGCAGTCGGGAAAACCGCTCTGACGTCATGAAGAGCCGTGGACATTTCAATGAACAGTGAACGCGAGATCATAATACCTGAAAAAATATCGCTTCGAAGGTGGCCTTTTTCTTCCAGTTTTGAACCCGGCCTTCACTTTCATGAAATGTTCCCTTTCACTTTTTTCAAACCAATGCTGGAATAAGCTGCTCAGTCATACAGGCCTCTCTCCGTCTGACATGTACCAGTGTACCTGATATCCGATATAAGTATCCAGTGTTCTGTTTGACCAGCTGTGCCAGTGTGTGCGTTATGCAGTGTTCTGACCTCCGTACTCTGTGTCCGCTGGCAGCTGTCGCCGCCCGAGTTTCCCGGCAGCGTGGACCCCATGGGGCCGAGCAGTGCCGAGCCGCTGGACGCCGACGGTCAGGACGACGGCATCTCCATCGAGGACCTGGTCACCCAGGTACGTACCGCGTGCAACTGCACATTTACCTCAGAGAGGGTCTGGTCACCCAGGTACGTACCGCGTGCAAATGAACATCTCTACAGAGAGCCTCGTCACCCAGGTTCATACCTCGTGCACATCTGCAGACAGGACCTGGTCACCCAGGCTAGGTCTGCGATAGTGTACAGATCGGGCAGGCTGGTCGATTTCGGGTCCGCCCTTCTCGTACGTGGTTTACGGCGGGCCACCGACAGCGACTGACCGCCCCCTTCTGTTGCCGTTACTGATGACCACCCCCGTCGCCGTGACTGACCGCCGTGTGCCGCCCGCCCAGGTGAAGTCGGGCTCGCCGCTGCTGCTCTCGGACGGCCCGGCGCCGATGGAGATGTCAGACGACTCGTCCGGCTCCGAGGACGAGCCGCGCCGGCCGGCCGAGCAGCCGGCGGCCGCCGCGGCCGGCAGCAGCGTACGCTCCACCGGCGGCGGCAGCCGGCCGCGGCCGCGACTCTCCGCCCTCAGTGAGAGCGATAGTGAAAAGGTGGAACGCTCGAAACGGCGCGCGCCGCCGGCCGAGGGCGCGCCGCGCCGGCCCGGCCGGCCACGGGTCAAGCAGAAGCCCTCACCGCGGCGGCCGCCCAGTGACAGTGACTCGGACTCAGACGCCGAGGCGCCGCCGCCGCCACCGCCGCCCACCCGGCCGCCGCGGCCGCCCGGCCGGCCGCCCAACCCGCCGCCCAGCAAGGGCAGCCTGAAGGCGGCAGCGCCGGTGGAGGCGGCGCGGCCTGGCCGGGGCCGCGGCCGGCCCAGCCCCAGCTACCCGTCGCGCGAGATGATCAGCACCACCGACTCGTCCGACTCCGAGTCTGCGCCGTCGGCGTGCCGCCGGGTGGCCGCCGCCAGCAGTGACGACGACCGGCCGGCGCCCATGGCGGCCCCGGCCCCGGCACCGGCGCCGGCGGCGGCCGCCGTGTCCGACTCGTCCGACTCGGACTCGCCGCCCAAGCTGGACGCCGGTGGCGTGAGCACCAGCGACGCTAACAAGAAGGCCACCGTCAACCGGCTCTTCTTGCACCGCGTCAAAAAGTCGACGCCGCGCGGCCGGCCGGCCAACTCGAGCGAGCGCAGCGAGGGGCACGCGTCCCCGGCGGCGGCGCCGACGCCGCCTGCCGCGCCGCTGGCGCCGCCGCCGCCGCCGGCGCTGCTGGCCACGCCGGCCGTGCCGCTGCCGCCGCTCAGCCGGCACAACGGCGTGCCGGTGCTGCGCTGTCGGATAGAGAAGCGGCTCGTGCAGCGGACGGACGCGCGCGACGAGCCGCCGCCGCAGACGGAGCTGCGCCGCGCGGACGTCAAGGCGGAGCCGCCGGCGGCCAGTTCGGTCCGCTCGACGGCGTCGGCTGGCTCTCCGGCCACCTCCGGCCAGAAGCGGCGGCGCCGCGACTCGGACCGGCGCGCCAAGAAGGAGCGACGCGACGAGGCCGCCTCTAAGTGAGTACCGCCGGCCGGGCGCGCCGTGGGGTGCGCCGGCGGGCTGGTGGGGTGTGTCGGGGGCTGCTGGGGTGTGCCGGTGGGCGCAGTGGGATGTGTCTGGGCTGGTGGGGTGTGTCGGCGGGCTGGTGGGGTGCGCCGGCGGGCTGGTGGGGTGTGCCGGTGGGCTGGTGGGATGTGCCGGCGGGCGCAGTGGGGTGTGTTGGGGGCCTGGTGGGGTGTGTCGGTGGGCGCAGTGGGATGTATCGGTGCCACGGTGGGCTGATGGGATGTGTCGGGGCTGCTGGAGTGTGTTTGGCACGATGGGATGGGTCTGGACTAGTGAGATGTGTTTGGCGCAATGGGATGTGTCGGTGGCTGCTGGAGTGTGTTTGGCACGCTAGGATGTGTCTGGACTGGTGCGCTGGTGGTCTGTGCCGGTCGGCCAATTGCAACCGGTTTGTGTTGGCATGTCTCATGTTTCCAGCGTGTTGGGAAGTGTCTGTACGTTGGTCGCTATGATTGTCGTAGGTGAGGTGCGTCCCCGTTTTCACCGGTTTTCACAGAAAATTGGAAAAGTTATCATGTCTTTATATCTTGAGGTGTTCCCCAACAGCCCCGCACAGCTATTCTTCAGACTCGGAACTTTTAATTGGCCAAACGTTAGAACAACGCATTATTCCACGCATGTACGCGGTATATGAGTAGCAAGAAGCGATAAGCTTCAGATTGGAACTGATAATAGGTATCAGGCTGTCTGATGGAATCCGTCTTGTTAGGCAATAGGCACTCAAGCGGTCACACCCTTTTTTACTTCGTTTAAATTGCCGCAGACTCGTCTTTTTCGTTGAGGCTTCCGTTGTTGCGGTTACTGACAGTTTTACTGGTCATATCCTGTTTCACCTTGTTCGCTGCTGTAAAGTTCCTATGACTCCTCGTAAACGTCTGATATGCCCTATGGTAGCATTGAGTACCACGTAGTAACATCAAGTTTCTATTCGCCACCTCATTTAGTATGGGTTACTTAGGCGATGGATCTGGGAATCTTTCCATGATGTCCATTCAGCTGTGCTGTGCTGTGCCGCTGATTGTGCTGAGTGGTGTGTGCTGTTTCGGTTGATGTGCTGTTTCGTCTCCCGATCAATGGCCGGACTGTGTGGTCGTATTGTTTGCTGTGCCGGGTAGTGTCCTCCCCCTGAGCCCGCTGACGGCGCGGTGTTGCCGGCAGGCGGCGGCTCGGCCCCGTACCGTTCTGTGTTTTCATTATGTGTGCTGTGTTGGGTGTGCTGTGCCGGGTGATGTGCCCCTCCGCCGGGTGATGTGCCGCTCCCTCCCTCCTGTGCCCGCTGACGGTCCGGTCTCTGCCCGCAGGCGTCTGCCCGGCTCCGTGCCGTGCTGTGCCAGTACCGTGTACTGTGCTGTCCAGTGTTGTGCTCTGTGCCGTGTCGGGTTCCCTCCCGTCTGTGCCCGCTGACGGTCCGGTCTCTGCCCGCAGGCGGCGGCCCGGCTCGGTTCACTCCAACACGCCGTGCGGCGCCGGCCAGCCGGCCGACCAGCCGGCCGCCGAGGAGGACGGGCCGCTGGGGAAGCGCCGCGCCGCCGACGAGCCGCGCACGCACACACCGACCGGCGGCCCGGCCGGCCAGCACGAGCACAGGGTGAGGGGTGATAGTCGGGCTACCTACACACACACGGCGGCCCGGCCGGCCAGCACGAGCACAGGGTGAGGGGTGATAATCGGGGTACCTACACACACACGGCGGCCCGGCCGGCCAGCACGAGCACAGGGTGAGGGGTGATAATCGGGGTACCTACACACACACGGCGGCCCGGCCGGCCAGCACGAGCACAGGGTGAGGGGTGATAATCGGGGTACCTACACACACACGGCGGCCCGGCCGGCCAGCGCGAGCACAGGGTGAGGGGTGATAATCGGGGTACCTACACACACACGGCGGCCCGGCCGGCCAGCGCGAGCACAGGGTGAGGGGTGATAATCGGGGTACCTAGTACACACACACGGCGGCCCGGCCGGCCAGCGCGAGCACAGGGTGAGGGGTGATAATCGGGGTACCTACACACACACGGCGGCCCGGCCGGCCAGCGCGAGCACAGGGTGAGGGGTGATAATCGGGGTACCTACACACACACGGCGGCCCGGCCGGCCAGCGCGAGCACAGGGTGAGGGGTGATAATCGGGGTACCTACACACACACGGCGGCCCGGCCGGCCAGCACGAGCACAGGGTGAGGGGTGATAATCGGGGTACCTACACACACACGGCGGCCCGGCCGGCCAGCGCGAGCACAGGGTGAGGGGTGATAATCGGGGTACCTACCTACACACGGCGGCCCGGCCGGCCAGCACGAGCACAGGGTGAGGGGTGATAATCGGGGTACCTACACACACACGGCGGCCCGGCCGGCCAGCGCGAGCACAGGGTGAGGGGTGATAATCGGGGTACCTACCTACACACGGCGGCCCGGCCGGCCAGCACGAGCACAGGGTGAGGGGTGATAATCGGGGTACCTACACACACACGGCGGCCCGGCCGGCCAGCGCGAGCACAGGGTGAGGGGTGATAATCGGGGTACCTACACACACACGGCGGCCCGGCCGGCCAGCGCGAGCACAGGGTGAGGGGTGATAATCGGGGTACCTACCTACACACGGCGGCCCGGCCGCCGGCCAGCACGAGCACAGGGTGAGGGCCCGAGGGGGTGGTAATCGGGGCGTACAGTGAGAGGTGGCTGCAGCACACGACGGGACCGAGAGGGGACCGCCAATGTGAGACTCCAGGAGCACAGTGACGGAGCTGGAGCTTAGTGTGAGACAGATCATGAGACGCAGTGGGTACATACCAGGGATACCAGCCACCGGGGACGACACATGGCTGGGAGGCTAGTGAGACACAGAGAGAGAGAGAGAGCAGCTAGACACAGCGCGGGTGGCCGAGTCCAGGGGCTCCGTCTGAGCCTGTGTGTTTGTGCAGGCGGACTGAGTCTCCGAGGGCCGGCGTCCGGGAGCTGGCTGCGCCACATTTGCCCGTCTGACTGACCGTGTGTGTGTGTGTGTGTCGGCAGATTGAGTCGCCGCCTACCGGAGTCCGGGAGGCAGACAGCAGTACAAACCCCAGCGCCGAGCCTTACGACAGCAACGTACCGCAGGCGCTCTACACCAACCAGCCCTTCCCCATCCCGGCGTGAGTACCGGCTCCTCCCCTACAGCGGCTGAGCTCCCGCCCTTCCCCACCCCGGCGTGAGTACCGGCTCCTCCCCATAGCGGCGTAAATTACACCAACCAGCCCCTCCCCATCCCGGCGTGAGTCGTACCCGCTGTTTTGATGTGTGTGGACCGTTGCCGATTTGTCTTTAGCGCTGCCTCCTAATGGGCTGTATGTAACTGTACGGCTGTGCTACCGCCAATAACGTCCAGTGAATGCCGCCGGCCTGCAGCCCCGCTCATTTCGTCCCCAGCTGCCATGTTCATTGTCCATTATTGTCATGTTCATCCCATCATCGCATGGATCATTACATCATCACCATTCATGCACATCAAATCGCGACCAAAAAGTTAATATCAAACATTGAAATGGAACAGGCGCTACCGTCCACTGTGCGGTCGTTCTTTGCCAAGATATCGTTAATTTTATACTTGTTGGCCAACAGACGAACCTTTCAGTGGCGTGCAAGCATTCCATTCTGATTATATAATTATGTAATTAATTATGTAATAATTATTAATTAATAATAATTATTATTAATTAGTATAATTATTAATAAATAATAATTATGTAATTATGTAATAATCACTGCACTGTCAGCTTTTCATAATTTCTGCATAGGCGCTTCCGACCAGATATATGTTAAAGTTTTACTCTCAAGTGTTAAGTTTTGTTGGCTGGAGTCATGTTATTTTTTTGAGCGTCATGCTTTCAACGTTTCAATTCCAGTGTTCATCAGACTTCGAAGTATTTTTTTTGCACATTTCTTACTATTTATAAAATTGCATTTTGTATCAATTGTGATGCTTCGTGCTTCAAATGTTCAACTGTTATCAGTATCTTTCTTTAACTGTAACTGATGTATGCGTATTCATATTGTGTATTCTTCTTCTGCTATTCGATGCTTTTATAAGACATGCTACGCTAGAATAGATAATAGCCTAGCTGTTATGCCTCTGCTGAAGTCCTTCACGCTGCGCTTTCCTGCCTGACGCCTATGAGTTTGCTCTGCACTGCCTGGCTCCGCTATCGCTGGTCCGCGCGCCCGCTCTGTCCTATCTGACGGCGCCGCCCGCCCCGCGGACACTCGGTCACCGTGTGGAAAATTGGGGAGCTTCTATCGCAGACTGTCGGCGGCTCCAGTTTCTGTAGCGCACTGCCAGGGCTCCTTCTGTAGTGAATCACCAGCGGCTCCTTCTGTAGTGAATCACCAGCGGCTCCTTCTGTAGTGGATCACCAGCGGCCCCTTCTGTAGTGAATCGTCAGCGGCTCCTGTAGTGGGCTGTTGGCGACTTCATCAACACAATAGAAGCCTACCAGTTGCTTTTATACCGGAACGTGTCAGCGGTTCCTTTGGCGAAGTGACGGCGCTTTCCAGTATCCAATTGCCAGCGTCTCCTTCTATAGCTGACTGCTAGAGGCTCCTTACATATCTTACTGCCAGCGGCCCGTGGGGCCTCTTTGCATCGCAGCTCCTCTCAGCTGCTTCTCTGCTTTTCGACGCTCGGATGCCCGATAGATATTCTGCAGTCGAGACTTGATTGCCTCTGTTTTAGGTATTGCTCTCAAGTGTCTGGATAGCGAGGCTTGGATAGATAACAGCTGATTCTGGTTACTGATATGCCTCGGCACTTTATCTCGCTTTTTGCTGATGGCTTTCGAGAGCGGGTTGATATTTTTGCTAGCCACGGTACCATAGTTAAAGATATTTTACCTCTTCAATCAACAAATCCTAGTGTTGAACCACAGTGCTTCCACTTAGTCGGCTTGCCGCTTCTTCCTGGCTATCTGTCCGTTTCTCAGTATCGGTTGGGCTCGTCTATGAGCTGCCCTGCCCTGTCTGTATTCGAGGCATGCATGTGGGGGCCGCCGTGCCCCGGCTGGTCCGTGTGACGGCCGGCCCGCCGCCGCCGCGAGCGTGACCGTCTTCTGGGCTCTCTGGCAGGACGTCGTGGTTTGAGGCGCGCTCTCCGTGCGTAGACTCGTGTCTGGACGAGTACGTGGATAGGTGGGTTCCGCCGCCCCCGCGGTAGGTATATCGAGTCCGCCGGCCGCGCGCGACACGTGACTGAGGCCGCCGAGCCTCCCTGACAGACGTACCGCGCCGCTCCTGACTGCTGTCGGGCCGCCGGGCCTCCCTGACAGACGTACCGCGCGACTCCTGACTGCTGCCAGGCTGTCAGGGGCTCCCTGTCATTCTGACCGGCCGGGTACTGGGCTACTGACTGACGGACAGGGCTCTGAGAGCTTATGACTGTCGGACCGGACCGGAAGGTTGGGGGGGGGGGGGGTGCTGCTTACAGCACCCCATTCAGGAATATATTCCGGCTAGTCGACAGTTTGACTGTATAGCTGCCTGACTACCTGCGGTTCTCTGTAGGCTAGGCCATGCTGGGCCGGCTCGCGGTCCCAGTGACTAACAGACTGATGTGGTCTGTGTTCGGTGACGCCTGGTCCGACTAACCGTCAGACTTGTAGACTGGTCTGGCTGGAGACGCCTGGATTGACTGACAGACAGACTGGATTGACCGACTGGCAGACAGACTGACTGACTGGGTCGAGGCGTCCCCAGACTGATGGCGCTGCTCGGAGGTCCGTACGATAGGCAGACTGACTGGGTCGGGTACCCCCAGACTGAGGTAGCGCCGCTCCCAGGCCCGCCCGCCGCTCAGGCTGTCCATGTAACCGCTGAGCGCTCCTCGTGTGTCCGTTTGCTGCTGCATGCCCGCCGGTAACCGCTGCTGTGCCGTCGCGACTGAGCTATAGCCAAGCCCAACAGCAGTCCTCGTACGTTCAGTGTCTAGAATACATACGGAGGATGGTGATGATAGCTGAATGTCAGATGATGCTTCCCTGCCTGTCATAACGGCATTGAACTAACGCGGTCAGAAGTCATGATTAAAACTAGCAGTCAACGCGATTATCTAAAATCATTCCATTACTTTATTCATCATTCACTCTCATTAAATCATTTCATTCATTCATCATCATCTATCTCATCGTCACGATTGTCATTGTAACCTGTTCGGTGTATCCTGCAGCCTGCGTCCCCCGCCGTGTGTACATCTCACCTCCGGTGGTGTTGGCCCGATACCGTGACTGTCCCGGAGGCACCTGCGCGGACCCTCCCCAGCCCCAGTCCCGGGGGCGGGCCGGCCAGGGCCGCTGGGTGGTGACTGGTGGCCGTGACCCCGCCCTGAGGATGGACCAATCACCGGGGCTGTGACCCGCCCCTGACCATCTCTGACCCGCCTCTTATACCCTATACCCACCACTGACCGGCCCGTACCCCTCCTCTGACCCGCCTCCTATACTCGCCCCTGGCCGCCCCTGACCGCCTCTGACCGCCTCTTATACCCTATACCCACCACTGACCGGCCCGCACCCCTCCTCTGACCACCTCTGACCCGCCTCTGACCGGCCCGTACCCCGCCGCTGACCCGCCGCTGACCCGCCTCCTTTACTCGCCTCTGACCCTCCACTGACCGGCCCGCACCCCTCCTCTGACCGCCTCTGACCCGCCTCTGACCGGCCCGTACCTCTCCTCTAACCGCCTCTGACCGCCTCTGACCGCCTCTTATACTCGCCCCTGACCCGCCTCTGACGGCGTCCACAGGGGCGACCAGAACCAGTACCTGAAGCAGGCCCGCCTGCTCAAACGCGCCGCCGACACCGAGCACGACCTCACCCTGCGGGTCATCAGGTGGGTCAGAGGCGGCCGCCCAGCCGGCAGCTGGCTCTGTGAATGACAGCCAGCGCTAGGTCATGCAATCGTTTACATGGAATAAACCCTGTTTTTAGTGTTGAACGTAATAGGGTGTGTAGTACAACGGTCCCTGTTGCTTGACCTCGTTTGACGTGACATAAAGCCATGCAATGTGCATTTTGCAGTTTGAAGTCAGACTTAATATCGAGGTGTTATGTGACTTGTGAGCCGTTGGCCGATGGTCGTCTCGCCCCTCCCACGCCACCCAGGCGAAGCATGTACATACACAATACACATGTACATTGTACATGGGTGCATGTACATACACATGTACATGCACCCGTGCGGTGCTGAACTGTACACCTGTCTGACCGTGTGTCTGTCTTTCTAGCCGTCCCGCCCCGCCTACAGGTACACCCAGGCTGTACATACTGTACCCGCAGTCACAGTACTACTGTACACCTGTCTGACCGTATCTATCTGTCTAACCCCCTCTCCCCGTTCGCAGGTACACGTAGGCGGTGTTGTACTGTACAGCTGTCCGACCGTGTGTCGGTACGTCTGACCCGCTCTCCCCGCTGACAGGTACACCCAGGCGGTGTTGTACTTCCTGCTGACGGCCCTGTCGATGGAGAAGGACGCCGATGACGCCGAGAACATGCTGGTTATGCTCAACGACACGCTGAAGCTCATCAAGTGAGTGGAACGCGCCACCCTGTGGGCTGGTCGGTGGGCTGGTCGGTCGCCACCCTGTGGGCTGGTCGGTCGACTGCGGAGCCCTGGGCTCAGCTGAGCGCCGCTGTCGTTTTGTGTAGCTGACATTAGTCCGCCCCGGGAGCCGCGCCGCGGTCCGGTCTGTGCTCGGCGAGGAGCGCAGTCTGTGCCGTCCAATCCCCCATGTCCCACATACGCACCGGTCTGTGACCCGGGCTCCGGCCGTGCCGCGCGCGCTGTGGGACGCTGGGTAATGGTGTGACCCCTCCCTCGTCGGCCACCTACCGTAAGCTGGGCCGGCCGACCATTCCCTGTGAGTGTCCCAAAATTGTAATTTGGCTTGGGTGTTAGAGCGGAAATTCCTCTCGAAAAAGGAGGATACGAGTGGAAAGTTGCCAGTGAGATAAGGCCCAAAGAGTGAAAAGGGATTGATGGCATAAATTTATATACACGTAGTAAAATATAGGATGTAAAACGACCACCCATGCACATGTTTTTTTTTTTCTCTATAAAATTGGAAGTGGAAAATTGCTCTTAGAAGCAAGAGATGAGAGTGCAAAATGATTTTCATTTGGATGTCGCTTCCCACCCAAATAAACACATTGTGTGACACTGCCGGGCCTGTCTGCCTCAGGGACATGCTGCGCCTCTCGTCGGCCACCTATCGAAAGCAGGGGAAGCGGCCGAGCCACATCGACCGGAAGCTGCAAACGCTGCTGCTCCGCTGTCAGGGCCTCATCTACCTGCGCATGTTCAAACTCAAGGAGCCCGAGCACAAGAAGGCGCAGCGACAGATCTCCGACTTCAAGAACCAGGTGCGCCACTGCATGGGACTGTTTGTGTGTTTATGTAGGGGGGATGTAGATATTAAAAATGAGTTGAATTGAAACTGTTTGATGGTGGTAACTGCACAGTTCACCGTCGACCTTTTCTAAAGACAGTTGTGTTGTGCTGTGCGTCCGCTGGTGTTCCCTGTGTTCCGGGGGTCGGTGTTGGGGTGGTTGTTGTCTCCCCACGGCCCCCAGGCGTAGGCGGTCGTCTGAGGAGAGACGACGTGTATGCCGTCCGCCCCGGCCGTGTCAGCCTGTCCCCCGGTGGGCTGGACGTGCCGCCCCTCTGTCCGGTTAGATGTCTGTCCCGCCCGCGCTGTGTCGGTTAGATGTCTGACCCGTCGCGCTGTGTCTGTTGGATGTCTGACCCGCCGCGCTGTGTCGGTTAGATGCTGAACGAGTGTCTGACCGAAGACGGCCGGGCGTACCAAGTGCCGCGCGAGCTGCTCCTGCTCATGATCAAATGCAACGAGACGCAGGGCCACCTGCGGGACTGGCTCGACTACTGGGAGCAGGCCGACGAGCTGATGCAGCCCGCGCCCGACATAGGTGAGTCAGGACAGCGGGGACCGGGGAGAGGCCGGGGTCCATTGGTGGGGGTGCCGGGGCGCGGGACGGCGGGGAGTGGGGAGAGGCCGGGGTCCATTGGTGGGGGTGCCGGGGCGCGGGACAGAGGGCATAGTGAAGGACAGCGGGTGGAGGGAGGTATGTGTTTTAAAACTAGTGTCTGGGACTCTAATGAACGTTGATCTCTGAGAGACGGAGTGTCGGCACGGCTACCAGGGGATATTGACGAGAGCTCTGTGAGCCTCGGAGGGGATTGACTCGTTACTGCCTGGCCGGAGCAGGCAGGCTTGTGCTCGCAGCTGTAGGCTGTAGCCATGACGTGTTGTGGATATACATCTCCCCCGGGTGGTGTGATTGCTGACTGTGCGCGAACAGTACTGCTCTGATCGGTAGTTCCCGCCTCGGCCCTGGCTGACGGCGCCCGTTCCGTGTGCCCGCAGGGAAGTTTTTCGCCGAGATCGACCGCACGATGGGCGGCCTGCTCAACACGAGCACACTGCTCCACCTGGTCTACTACATCCGCGAGACGACGCGCCGGCTGCAGGCCATGCACACGGGCGCCGCTGTCTGAGCGCTGCCGACCTGCGCGCGCATCACAACCGTATCAGGGTACTCCGTGGCAATCCGAGCCGGGCAGCGGAGCCGCGGCGCCGGCCGAGCTTCCCTCCGCGGGCGCCGCGCCGGGCCCGTTTTGTACCGGCGCGCGGCCGGCGCCGCCCAGTGCAGGCCGGGTTTGTATTTTTGTACGGATCATCGCCATCGCCGGCCGGGCACGCAGACGCCGGCCGCAGTATCGCCGCGCGGCGGCCACCAGTCCAAACCATCGCCCATCGCCCTGTCTCTCTCTCTCAGTCGTCACTCACCGGTTGGCGGCGCGGCCGACACCGGCCGGCCGCCGCCCCTCACACGATGCCTTGACAAGGCAGCCGCCCTGCCTCCCTGTCCCCGCCGTCCCGTCCCCGGTCACGGTTCCTCTGTGGGGCAGTGCCCCGGCACACGCCGTCTCCCTCCTCTCGCTCACCCCTGTCTCTCTCTCCCCGCCCCGGGTGCCGGGCCGCCGGTCTCAGCCGGCGCCCGCCCCGCTCCAAGTGCCAGCGTTACCGGATGCGTGCCTCCCCGTGTGCCCTGCCCCGGCCGAGCGCCGGGGCCACCCCGCGCCGTCAGCCGGCCAGCCACACAGATGGAACGGTACTGACAATACACGTTCGTATATTGGGTATAAAAGAGCGGCGTGGCCCGAGGCCGACCGTACACGTATTTATTTTGTTTGTTTAAGCTTCCAGGAGGCAGCATTGCGTCCAGCGAGGGTATTTTTGTAAAGACTGTTGTACATAGGTGCGGTGCAGAGTGTTGTGATGCAAGCTACAAATGAATGATGTGTTAGATCATTTTCATCCGCAGTCCGCACCCCAATAAACGTGTATGACGTGGCTGCGGTGTGTGTGCGGGGACGTGTATGACGTGGCTGCGGGGACACTGCTCGGGGGTCGGTGGACACTGGCGCTTGGCGGAGACACTGCTCTGAGTGCTCTGAGTGCTCAGGCGTCGGCGGCCACCTGGCGGGGACAGCGCTCAGGCGTCGGCGGCCACCTGGCGGGGACACTGCTCAGCTCAGGGGACGGTGGACACCTGGCGGAGACAGCGCACAGGGGTCGGCTGGCGGAGGTGGCGGTGTTGGCGGACATTTGCGGGCACTGAGCGTCTGCCGCTCCGCGTGTGGCGAATACAGAAGCAATCAACAAAAAGTTCGTTCCGAACATTATGCATAAGGAAGTTAAATCTGAGCTTACGACATTGTCCCTTTTTAGCAGTTTGCCTTCGCCCCTCCGCAGCTTTTCAGCAGTGGCGTAACCACGTTCAACGAGCGGTGCGGACAAACTGGCATATGGGGAAGCATCCCTCAGAGGGGGGGGGGGGGCATCACCTAAAGCCCTAAGGGAAGGGGGCGCCTGTGGTGCCCTGTGCCTGCATGCGAAAGCGGGGCGCCTCTCAGGTCCGCATGCAAATGAGGGGCGCATATGTGATATGAAGGTCATAGGTCACCTCTATGCGAGGGGGCTGCTGCATGCAAGAGATTGGCATTGCATGCAAGAGGGGCGCAGATGAGGCCTGTAATGGAGCCTGTAATAAATGGCACCTCTGACATACCCTGCCTCTGACAGCCATAGGGCGCCTACGTGCGAACAAAAGCTGGCGCCTATGAAATTTATAGGGGCACATCCATGCGTAAAAAGCCGTCTTTTATCACGGCGATTTAAAAGGCCCTACAAGTTTGCCCAAAGTCTTATAAGAGTTTGCCGACAGACGCGTTAGCCCAAGCCCATACCTATATGGCCTTGGCCGTACCTATATGCCTATATAGGGCCTTGCCTATATGGTCAGTCGGATCTGGTCGGGTCAGTCATTGGCATTGCCCAGGCATTGCCTGCTCATCAGTGGCTCGTCACGGAAAGTGGCAGAATCCTGCATCTCTAATGGACAAATGTTTATGTGAAACATGCTCGCTCTGCTCACGATTTGAGCATGCCATTTGGTTCTGAACCCTTTCCAGTTTCCACTCCAGCTTCCTGTTAGCAGGGGCGTAGGCAGGGGGGGGGGGGGCACTGGGCCATGGCCCCCTCCCTTGGGCGCCGAAGGCGCCCTTTGCGATTGGAGGGCGCCGAAGGCGCCCTCCAATCGCGAATGCAATTGTGATAGAATCGAATCGAAAAACAATCGCGACTGGATACGCCAAGCCTATAGGATCGCTGCCTTCCTGCCCACTGGTGCCCTCATTTGATCGGTGTACTCCTACCTATTGGTGCTCTCCTGTAAATAGGCGCCCTCTCACCCGAAGGCGCCCTCCTGTAGGTCGTCACCCTGCTACACATTCCCAGTAAAAAATACCATTTGAAACCATTAGGATTTACCAATTGGTTTCAAATGTGTCAAATGGTTTGAAATAGGTTCTAATGGTTTTCATGACCATTTGAAATGGTTTCCAATTGGTTTTCTCCCAATTGGTCTGAAATGGTGTTTTCCATTTGGTCCCAATTGGTTTTGAAATGGTTTCCTAATGGAAAATAAATCCCATTTGATTTCAAATGGTGTTTTCCATTTGATTCCAATTGGTTCCAAATGGAATAAAACCATTTCATCCCAAATGGTGTGTCCCATTTGGTCCCAATTGGTATCTAAATGGTTTCCATATGGAAGAAATTCCCATTTGATCTCTAATGGTTTTTCCCATTTGATCCCACTTGGTGTCCAATTGGTCTCCAAATGGAATAAAACCATTTCATCCCAAATGGTATGTCCCCAATTGGTATCGAAATGGTTTCCAATTGGTAATTTCCCAATTGCTCCGAAATGGTGTTTTCCATTTGATCCCTATTGGTTTTGAAATGGTTTCCTATTGGAAAATAAATCCCATTTGATTTCAATTGGTGTTTTCCATTTCATCCCAATTGGTTCCAAATGGAATAAAACCATTTCATCCCAAATGGTGTGTCCCATTTGATCCCAATTGGTATCGAAATGGTTTCCAATTGGTAATTTCCCAATTGGTCTGAAATGGTGCTTTCCATTTGATCCCAAATGGTATGTCCCCAATTGGTATCGAGATGGTTTCCAATTGGTAACTTCCCAATTGGTCTGAAATGGTGCTTTCCATTTGATACCAATTGGTTCCAAATGGAATAAAACCATTTCATCCCAAATGGTGTGTCCCATTTGATCCCAATTGGTATCTAATGGTTTTTCCCATTTGATCCCAATTGGTATCTAATGGTTTTTCCCATTTGATCTCAAATGGTTTTTCCCATTTGATCTCAAATGGTTTTTCCCATTTGATCCCAATTGGTGTCCAATTGGTCTCCAAATGGAAGAAAACCATTTCATCCCAAATGGTTTGTCCCATTTCATCCCAATTGGTTTTGAAATGGTTTCCATTTGGGAGTCGGGAGATATTCATATTTGATCTAAATTGTCCAAGTGGTCTCGAAATAGAATTTTATCTGATAAAGCGTGTCTTATTTAATCCCAATTGTTATTGAAATGGTTTCCATTTGGAAGATATATTCCTATTTGATATGAAATGGGCAATGGTTTTCCCATTTGATCCCAATTGGTGTCGAAATGGTTCCCAAATGGAAAAGCCAATCTGTTTTGAAATGGTGTTCCCATTCTATTTCAACTGGTGTCGAAATGAAAAATGCATTTGAAAAGCATTCAAGGGTCGTTTTAGGCAAGAAAAAACATACTTATATGGCAATAACTTTTATTTCATGAGATGAATAAAAGCAAAGTCCGAACCGTAGTCGGAGCTGGAGTCAATTTTTGAGTCAGAGTCGGAGTTAGAGTCATAAATCCACCACTTTGCAGCCCTGTTTCCAGATGTGTGACAAGTATGCTTCAAAAGTGTTTCTACCTTGATGGTCTCTAATGGTTTCAAGTGTGTTTTGAGTATGGACTAGGTATCTATTAGTTCCCAATTGGTACCCTAATGGTTTCTAATGGTTTTTAAACATTTGCTTAAATAATAGACTTAGAGGTAATGGGAAGACCTTTGACTGGTTATACTTGATAAGCATCACTACAAGGCCTTGGTTTTTCATTAAATAAAAATGATTCGCAAAATCCACGTCGTTTCCGCTCATTTAAACAGCACTACTTTTTCTCTGTGTGCCTACGCTGGCGGCGCCCGACCGTTGGCGGCTTGGCGCCCGGCCGGCCGCGCCGGCGCCACAGTTCAAACCGGGCGTCGACGTCGGCCGGCCGGCCGGCGCGCCACCGTTTCGCGTTCGCTGGGCCTGGGACTGCCCGCGGTCGACCGGGACCCAGTCCTAAAGAGGAAGCTGAGCAGAATCACGCGGCTGGTGAGTGACTTTTCTTGTGCCTCTGTATGCGATATTCGTTTTACGACTGCAAATACTGAAAATAGTTAATTGAATAAATTTGGTTGCATTTGGCATCCTTGTAAGTACCTACTGAGTTTAACAGAGGTGAGAAAGAGGCTTAAAATTAGCGATCACAATTTATTTTGCCAGCAGAAAATTGTCAGTGCCATATTTGTTGTGGTCAGGCTGCCTAAATGACAATGCAAGTTGCATGAGCTTAAAGTTATTATATTGTGATATTTGACAAATGACCCTGTGTGGTAATTAATTTGATCCCATCGCCCAATTAACCCGTGCTGTCCTGTACTGTTGCAGGCACGAACTTGCACCAGACAGACGCCGTCTACCGCTTCTAAACGGGTCCAGATGGGCTGCATGCCTGCATTATAGCTACGTTCTGACTTCTGAAAATTCTGATCGCCACGGAAGATTAAGAAATCTGTCAGAACAACAGACAGTATCACCGATCGGAATGATATTGTATCATGTCGTTCATTGTGCCTATGTGGAATAGCGTACGTATGGCCCAGTGTATAACTACATTGTAATTCTGTTCTTGATTCTGATAGCAGTCGCCTCATCGATGTGGTGTTGACCAAACAACAGTGTCCATGTGTAGTTAATGTCTAATGTTGGTAGGTACGTACTGATGAAAATGTATTATAAGCTTGCAGAGTAAAACAATAAAAATAATTCACGGTGCAGTTTTTTATTTTGTGGATGAAATGCATGGACTTCAAAAGGATCTTCAAATGGTAATCCAGCTGCCCAGTAAAGAATACCATTAGAAATTTCCAAATGGTTCCAAATGGGAAAAACCATTTGACTTATTGAACACTTTTCCAAATGGTTCCAAAGAGGTTCCATTTGAAATGTGTCCAATTGGCCACCAATTGGTACCAATTGGAACCATTTCATGACCATTTGAAATGTGTCCAATTGGTACCAATTGGTGACCAATTGGATACATTTCAAATGGTCATGAAATGGTTCCAATTGGTACCAATTGGTGGCCAATTGGACACATTTCAAATGGAACCTCTTTGGAACCATTTGGAAAAGTGTTCAATAAGTCAAATGGTTTTTCCCATTTGGAACCATTTGGTAATTTCTAATGGTATTTTTTACTGGGTTGCTGCCATTCTGCTGGTCGGCGCCCTCATAATTATTGGCGCCCTCCTATCTATTGCGCCCTCATGTGAAATTTTTATGGCCACCCTCCTCCCTTTTGGCACCCTCTTGTTGAGTGCCGCCCTTCTAGCCATTGGCGCCCTCCTACCTATTGGTTTCCTAGTCCCTCCTGTTGAATGTTAATCGGGGCCCTTCTACCTATTGGCGCCCTCGTGTTGATCGCCGCCCTCCTAACCACTGGCGCCCTCCTGTTGATCGCCGCCCTCCTATCCACTGGCACCTTCCTGTTAAATCGGCGCCCTCCTCACAGACGCCCTCCTGTTCAATGTCATCCTCGGGCAAAGGCGCCCTCCTCACCATTGCCACCCTCCTGTTAATCGTCACCCTTCCACTCATTGGCGACTTCCTGTTGATGACCGCCC